ACAGGGACTGGACTCCTGCTGGGACTCTGAGGAGCACAGGGACTGGACTCCTGTTAGTGCCCAGAGTCAGAACTAAACATGGGGAGGCTGCTTTTCAGATTCATGCTGCTAAAATCTGGAACAGTCTTCCTGAAGATGTGAGACAGGCCTCCTCTCTGACAATGTTTAAAACCAGGTTAAAGACAGTTCTGTTTAGCTGTGCTACAACTGAGGGATTTTATATTTTTATCTTTCTTTTTAATGTACTTTATTATGATTATTTATCACAGCACTTTACATTATTTTAATGCCATAAACTTGCTTATAACTATAAAACAAGATTGGGACAAATCCATTTAGTTTTATATCAAGAACTATTTGTTTATTTTCTCATTCCAAGAAAGACCAGAGAGAGAGACCAGAGATGGACCAGAGGGAGAGACCAGAGAGAGACCAGAGAGAGAGACCAGAGGGAGACCAGAGTGAGACCAGAGAGGGACCAGAGAGAGAGAGACCAGAGGGAGACCAGAGGGAGAGACCAGAGAGAGAGAGACCAGAGAGAGAGACCAGAGGGAGGGACCGGACCAGAGAGGGACCAGAGAGGGACCAGAGAGGGAGCAGAGAGAGACCAGAGAGGGACCAGAGTGAGAGACCAGAGTGAGAAACCAGAGTGAGAGACCAGAGAGAGAGACCAGAGTGAGAGACCAGAGTGAGAGACCAGAGAGAGAGACCAGAGCGAGAGACCAGAGCGAGAGACCAGAGCGAGAGACCAGAGCGAGAGACCAGAGCGAGAGACCAGAGCGAGAGACCAGAGAGAGAGACCAGAGAGAGAGACCAGAGAGAGAGACCAGAGAGAGAGACCAGAGAGAGAGACCAGAGAGAGAGACCAGAGAGAGAGACCAGAGAGAGAGACCAGAGAGAGAGACCAGAGCGAGAGACCAGAGCGAGAGACCAGAGCGAGAGACCAGAGCGAGAGACCAGAGCGAGAGACCAGAGAGAGAGACCAGAGAGAGAGACCAGAGAGAGGGACCAGAGAGATTTTGTGTTGTGTTTTTGTCATGTGTATTTTTATCGTCTATTTCTTTCACTCAGTCAGGTATGGGCATGTGTGTTTTTCATAAATTGATTTTCTTGAATCTCAAAACTGCTTTGTATTAAGACCAAGAGGTCCTACAGATGGGGAAATGTCAGTGTTGCATCACCAGGTACAGAACAGCAATGACGAGCACACAACACCAGATACAAGACCAAAAATGAACGCAACACGACCATACAACGTTGTGTAACTTAGACAAATACTCAGGAATGTACTTTGGCACATACGTAAGGTCGAGCTGGGTTATGGCGGGTCTATATATTTATGATTAGTGCTAGGTACAAAGTCTGTACGTAATGCTTTGACACTGAGAGAGAGAGAGCAGAGAGAGACCAGAGAGAGAGAGCAGAGAGAGACCAGAGAGAGAGAGCGGAGAGAGACCAGAGAGAGAGAGCGGAGAGAGACCAGAGAGAGTGAGCAGAGAGACCAGAGAGAGACCAGAGAAACACCAGAGTAACAGCAGAGAGAGAGAGATAGAGAGACCAGAGAGAGGCCCGAGAGAGACCAGAGAGAGAGACCAGAGAGAGAGACCAGAAAGAGACCAGAGTGAGAGGAGATAGGGAGACCAAAAGAGAGACCAGAGAGAGAGCTGAGAGAGAGACCAGAAACAGAGAGCAGAGAGGGAGACCAGAGAGAGAGAGCAGAGAGAGAGAGACCAGAGACAGAGAGCAGAGAGGGAGACCAGAGAGAGAGAGAGCAGAGAGAGAGAGACCAGAGAGAGCTGAGAGAGAGACCAGAGAGAGCAGAGAGAGAGACCAGAGAGAGCTGAGAGAGAGACCAGAGACAGAGAGCAGAGAGAGAGAGAGAGCAGAGACAGAGAGCAGAGAGAGCCCAGAAAGAGAAACCAGAGAGAGAAACCAGAGAGAGAGACACCAGGGTGAGAGACCAGAGAGAGAGAGCGACACCACAGAGAGACCAGAGAGAGAAACCTTCTGACTCTATTAAAACATTCTCCTCTGGGACAAAGCCATTTTGCAGATCTCACATACGTTTGCTTTGACTCTGAGCACAGGCTGCAGAGGAGAGTCTGTGTGTACATTGGTAGCGTGGCACAGTCGTCCTGTCTGCCTGACTCAACACATTTGCCCCCCCCCCTCCCCTCCCCTCCCCTCCCCCCTCCCTGCCCGGCTGGCACGTACATGCATGTCTGTAGACTCTGTACTGTGCTGCTCTGGCACGCGCCAACCTCACTGCAATGCAGCCCTGTGTGCATTAATTGGCAGTGAGACAGTGGGTACGTGGTATGCAGGGCGGGAAAGCATAGAGCGAGAGATTAGAGAACGCAGAGAAAGGAAAGAAAGAGAGAGAGAGAGAGAGGGAAAGAAAGGCAGCGTGAGGACACCGGGGTGATGGACGGACGCACGGACAGCCCGGGTTCAGAGAAGGACGTGGGGACAGGAATAGCATACATGTAGCTGAGAGAGCACACACCATGACGTAGAGTAAAGTTTGTGCAGCAGAGAGAGCGTTCTGCGTTAGTCTGACGGCTGATATGTGTCACAGCTGGCTTCCTCTGAGCTCTTTTACATGTGTGTGTGTCTATATGTAGCATGCAGATATCACACGGCCGGGTCCAAAGTGCTGGAGTCTGACTCATAGCTCTCTGATAGCCTCCCTTTCATTTCCGCTGTGACTGAAAAGTAAAAGTTTGAACTTTTGAGCCACCCCAAAAAATGAGTCTGTAAATATTCAGAGGTATCAAGTGATGGGGAAGATTTTGGGTATTATGATCTGAACTGTATTGGTTGCAGAGGCTGAATGAAATCCTAGCTTAAAGGTCAGAGATAGAGCTTGGTGTATTTCTGTATGAAACGTTTACAGTATTGCATTGTCACAGCTGTACATGGCCTGTCACAGCAGTCTCACTCCCACGCAACGCTTTCTGGAACTTCTCTCCAGTCGCTTTCTGCGCGTTTCGATCTTAGTTACAGCTTGGCCCCGGTCCTCGTCAACAGCAGCAGAGATATATAAGAGCGACGCAAACACCCAAAAACAATGAGTGGCTCCAGAATGTGTCGGAGAGGGAGCCAAAGTGGAGGTGTAAATTAATCATCTAATTTATCAATTTGTGTTGGAATGGTTTCGCGTGAAGACGTGTAGGAGTTTGGACGAGGTGCTTTTGCATGAATCACACTTGTATGAAACAGTTTTTTTGTTGCAAACTATTGTTATCCAAATATTACAGAGAGATCTCTTCTTGTTCGTGGCGCACTCAGAGTCAGACTCGAGCTTCTTGCAAGTCATCAGAGATTGTATCAGATCTGCAGTCAGGAGGGGGAGACTCAAAGTTTTTCTAATTAACTCTAAGCCACAGCAGTCTTTTCTTCTTCTTCTTCTTCTTCTTGCCTTTGTTTTTGTCTCCTCCTCATCGTCATTTAAGCGTCCAAGGCCGAGTGGCAGAAGTTGCTTCAACCTAATTGTCTTTCTCTACTCGTACTGTCCTCAGATGACTTTCTCTGTGTCTCAACTCTCCCCCTCCCTCTTTGCGTCTCTCCCTCTCTCTCTCTCCCTCTCTCTCTCTCGCTCGGCCCAGTCTCTGTCTGTAACTGTAGCCTGTGTTTTTCTCTCCCTCCCACTCCCTGCGACGTATAGATACTGCATTGATCAGACACACGCGCAGACACATGCACACGCGCACCACTCCACTCAGCCACCCACTCCTTTTATCCTTGATTCGCGCTGCTCTGCTCGGCTCTTTCTCTCTCCCCCCCCCCGCCTCCCTCTCTCTACTCCTGCATACACATACATTACAGACACACACACACACCCTCTCTACAGTGGCACTTGTTGAATTCAACCCTTGGAGAATAGAGCGAGGGGGAGAGAAGCGCAGAGAGATAATGACAGAGAGAGGGGAGGTTTTTGAGGCAGTGCTTTAGAGCGGACAGCCAGCAGAGAGAGAATGGGGCTTCAGACTGATAGAAGATAAAGATAAAAGGAAAATAGAAGTTGGAGAGAGAGAGACAGCCAGACAGACTCAGCGTTGAGACGGAGAGAATGACAAAGTGAAAGAGCTGTCGGGTTCATCTCCCAACTCTTCTGTGGTGTCCCGTTCTTGACTGCTGATGTGTGTGAGGCTAAGAAGACACTCTGGCTGTGGCTCTCTCAGGTCAGGACTGTCTGCGATGGAAGCTCTGTGCATGGCTCTGTCTGGCTGAAAAAAAAAAAGGCGAGAAAGTGTGTTTTGAGCAGTGGCCTGGCATTGGCTGGGCTTCTCCAGGTGAGTGCGAGCATGCCAGAGAACACAGTCATTTCCCTGTGCCGCCCGTCTGCCGCATGCCATTGTGGGTCGACTCTCTCACTTTTATGTAAGTATGTCAGGCTGCGTGTGTGTGTGTGTGTGTCTATATGAAGTCTGTGAAGTGGCAGAGGTAGAAGGGGCAGAGTCTGTGCAGAGAAGAAGTGGTGTTATTTTGTCAGTGTGTGTTCCTGGAAGCCGCTCTGCAGTGTTGCTCAACAATGAAACTGGTTTATTCTGAGTAAGTAGTGCATCTCTTTGTGGGAGTTTGTCGAGGAGCGGATGGTTGTGTGAAGGACAGAAGGTGCAAACATGTCACAGGAGGATCACGCATTGTCAGGGTTTAGTTTAAAATGGTGTTTTGTGGTGAGTTTGAGTTGTTCTCGCTCACGGAGTGGCATCTGTGTGACAGAGCAGAGTGTTGTCAGAGGTCACGGAAAACCCTCTTTTTGGTTTTCTTGTTGTTGGTGCGACGTGTGAACTAATCTAAGTCGTGTAAAACAACAGTGTGCGATGGTGGTTCTGATCCGTGCCCGTTCTGTTTACTCACACTTCACTTTGTTTCTGTGAAAGTTTTCTCATATTTTCATCTTGTTTTCTTGTACTTTCTTTTACAGATGCCTCACTCACTGGCAAAGTGTGCGGTGATTTTTTGAAGCCACATCTTTGGTCTCGTCAGTATCCAACATGTCCCAGCTGCTTCATGTGGAGATCCCAAACTTTGGAGCCACCGTTCTGGGCTCCTTGAACGAGCAGCGTCTGCTCGGACACTACTGCGATGTGTCCATCCTGGTCAAAGGTGAGACTGTTCTGTCCTGTGTCACTGCAGTGTGGCTTCTTTAACGTCCATGTGTTTCAGGTCAGGCCTTTAAAGCCCACCGGGCCGTGCTGGCGGCCAGCAGCCTGTACTTCCGGGACCTCTTCAGCACTTCCACCAAAACCCAGTTCGAGCTGCCCTCCTCCGTCACTCCTGCTTGTTTTGAGCAGATCCTGTCCTTCTGCTACACAGGGAAGCTGACCATGGCTGCCAGCGAACAGCTGGTGGTCATGTACACAGCTGGCTACCTCCAAATTCAACATATTGTTGAAAAGGGTATGGACCTTATGTTCAATAAGGCAAACTCACCTCACTGTGACTCACAGACCGCCGGCACTTTAGAGGAGACCAGCTCGGAGCCTCAGAGCCCCAGCAACCACAGCACTGGTTTCACTTTGGCCTCACTCATGGCCAACCCTGGATGGACACAGTCGCTCATTTTTCCTCAACGTAAGATCAAGACAGAGGCCGGAGAGCCCACTCCGCTCAGCGTCCCGTCCACACAGAGTCAGAAGATGTCCTCAGAGCTGGGCAGCCGCTTGGCCAGAGCCAGCTCTCTCTTCTACACCACCAGTGGAGGCGCCGCCATACCCGGGCTGCCCCCGTTCCTCCTGCAGGGGATCTCCACGGCCGGGGCAGAGCGCCTGAGTCCAGGGGCCTCCAGTCTGCCCACCACCGACAGCCCCACGTCCTATCAGAACGAAGACGAGGAGTTCGAGGAAGAGCCATACGACGGGATGGCGGACGAGCCCTTCAGCCTCTACGGCCGCTCGGTCAACTCATACAACCGTGAGTACACAACTCATACAGCCGTGAGTACACAACTCATACAGCCGTGAGTACACAACTCATACAACCGTGAGTACACAACTCATACAACCGTGAGTACACAACTCATACAACCGTGAGTACACAACTCATTCAGGACATTTTAGCTGTTATGTTTTGAGTTGCTTCGTTTTAAGAAATTTTTGAGTCACAAAAGAAAGATCAGAGTCATAAAGTGACTTTCCTGCAAACACACACACACACAGACACACACACAGTAATGACTTTATGTACTGTATGTTCTGTTGTTATTCTGCCCATGTTTGGAAACGTGTGGAAACTTCTGAGCTGCTGTGAGAAGGGGCTTGTAGATTTTGTTGGTAAATCACATCCATCGACTTGAACCGAGGACAATCTGAATCAAGGAACATGAGATCAAACTAAAGCACTAACAGTGTGTTTTCTTTAACTTATTTATGTCTTAACCTAAAGTGAGCGACCTGTGAGTGTTGTGTCGTCCTGTGTATTCATGATGTCCTTACCTCTTCAGTCCAGGACAAGCCTGAAATGGCTGCGGTGCCCTTGGCCCTGGAGAACCGCAACTGTGTCCTGATCCGCAGGGACCTGGTGGCTCTGCCCGCCAGCCTCATCAGCCAGATCGGCTACCGCTGCCACCCCAAGCTCTACACCGAGGGCGACCCGGGGGAGAAGCTGGAGCTCGTGGCAGGTACATGCACTCATTACCTACTCCTTTAACTCAAATAGTTTTTATATCGTCCTAAATCACAACGGTCGTTATCTCGGAGGACTTTACCAAACCGTTGAATTCTCCAAAAACAACAACAACAACAACTTATTCTTGTATATCCCTAAATAACAACAGTATCATCTCAGAGACTTAACAAAACCATTGAAATCACCAACACAGATCAGAGAATCAACAGTTAAGACACAAAATACAGTGCCTTGCGAAAGTATAACCTTTCAACATTTTGCCACATTTCAGGCTTCAAACATAAAGATATAAAATTTTATTTTTTGTCATGAATCAACAACAAGTGGGACACAATCGTGAAGTGGAATGAAATTTGTTGGATAATTTAAACTTTTTTACCAAATAAAAAACTGAAAAGTGGGGCGTGCAATATTATTCGGCCCCTTTACTTTCAGTGCAGCAAACTCAGTCCAGAAGTTCAGTGAGGATCTTTGAATGATCCAATGTTGTCCTAAATGACTGATGATGATAAATAGAATGCACTTGTGTGTAATCAAGTCTCCGTATAAATGCACCTGCTCTTTGATAGTCTCAGGGTTCTGTTTAAAGCGCAGAGAGAACCATGAAGACAAAGGAACACACCAGGCAGGTCCGAGATACTGTTGTGGAGAAGTTTAAAGCCGGATTTGGATACAAAAAGATTTCCCAAGCTTTAAACATCTCAAGGAGCACTGTGCAAGCAATTATATTGAAATGGAAGGAGTATCAGACCACTGCAAATCTACCAAGACCCGGCCGTCCCTCCAAACTTTCATCTCAAACAAGGAGAAGACTGATCAGAGATGCAGCCAAGAGGCCCATGATCACTCTCCAGAGTGATCATGTCTCTGATCGAGTCTCGGGGAGACTCACAGTTTGAGAAAGGGATCCGCTCCCACGGACGGACGGGCTGTAGATCCAGGACCTAAGCTACTGAACGAGGACCAGGGCCACGCAGCGGCCGCTGAACGTGGACAGGTCCGGTGCAGGACTGAAGAACTCCCAGGCGGGTCGGGCAGGGCAGTCCACAGGTGTAGATGGTGCAGCCCAGGGCAGTCCGCAGGTGTAGATGGAGGAGGCCAGGGCAGTCCGCAGGTGTAGATGGTGCAGCCCAGGGCAGTCCGCAGGTGTAGATGGAGGAGGCCAGGGCAGTCCGCAGGTGTAGATGGAGGAGGCCAGGGCAGTCCGCAGGTGTAGATGGTGCAGCCCAGTGCAGTCCGCAGGTGTAGATGGAGGAGGCCAGGGCAGTCCGCAGGTGTAGATGGAGGAGGCCAGGGCAGTCCGCAGGTGTAGATGGAGGAGGCCAGGGCAGTCCGCAGGTGTAGATGGTGCAGCCCAGGGCAGTCTGCAGGTGCAGATGGTGCAGCCCAGGGCAGTCCGCAGGTGTAGATGGTGCAGCCCAGGGCAGTCCGCAGGTGTAGATGGAGGAGGCCAGGGCAGTCCGCAGGTGTAGATGGAGGAGGCCAGGGCAGTCCGCAGGTGTAGATGGAGGAGGCCAGGGCAGTCCGCAGGTGTAGATGGAGGAGGCCAAGGCAGTCCGCACGTTGGTTCATAAGGGGTTGGGACGTTGTTGGCTTTTTAAAAGAAACTGGAATATGTGGGACAATATAGATGAAGATTAAGATGAAGAGATCCTTTATTGGTCCCACAGCGGGGAAATTTCAGTGTTGCATCACAAGAACAGTAGGAATAAGAGTCCCAGCAGGAGGCCAGTCCCTGTGCACCTCAGAGTCCCAGCAGGAGGCCAGTCCCTGTGCTCCTCAGAGTCCCAGCAGGAGGCCAGTCCCTGTGCTCCTCAGAGTCCCAGCAGGAGGCCAGTCCCTGTGCTCCTCAGAGTCCCAGCAGGAGGCCAATGTCAGTGTTCAGCGGTTACAGAACAGTAGGAATGAGGAGCAGCAGGAGATAAATGAATATTTTGTAAAGCAGATAAAAGATAGAATAAGGTCAAACTTAATCTCTAAATGCAGAAATGTACTCGTTACATGTGGCTTCAGTGAAAGGCCTCAGGCTGTGCACATGAGCAGGAGACGTGGAAACAGTTCAAAAGATAAAGTGTCTTCTGTACAAAAGGGTTTTGCAAAAATACATTGATTTTCCAGAGCAGAAACTTAGAGCAGTTAGTTTAAAGACATAGTTTTACATTTTCATTTCAGTTCATCGTTTGTGTACAGCCCTAAATCACAGCAGGAGTTATCTCAGAGGACTTTGCAAAGCTGTCGATTCACCTGCACAGATCAGAAAATCAAACAGATCAAACACAAGAAATGCAATGATTATAATAAATGTAGAAAAGGTCCATAAATGTGGAGTCCTGGATCATCCCTGTCCTCAGACCCTCCTGCACCGTTCAGATTATACACACATCAAACAAATTCTGTCACTAAAGATAATAGATTATAAAAGTAGTAATATACGGAGACGGTCTGCGGTGGTCTAGCCTGGTCGCACCACACCATAGTACTAATTACATGTTAACTCCTTTTGCAGATTGACACGATTGGATCTGAGTTTACCGTCACGTATGTAAGTGAGTTGTTAGCATTTAGCCTAGCTTTAGCCATCTCCTTTGCCGCTAACAGAGCCCGTGGGGAGTAGCGCCACAATTTTTTCCAGCGATTACATTTGCTAAACATTCCTCTTGCTCCGGCTTCAGTTTCTTGATAGAACCAGACCAGAATACTTTACTATCACATTCTTCGCCAAACTACAACCTCCCCGTTCAGCACAAACTCTTGACGTCACCCACAACTAACTACAACACCCGCCTCCCGCGCTCTCTGATTGGTCGGATGGAATTAAACTGATTGTAAGCGCAAACACAGGGACCAGACCCAGACGTTACATGCTGAGTGTTTTGATGGATAAGACCAGGCTACGGTGGTCTGACTTCTTCACATTTTGGGACAAACTATTATTCATTATTGAAAAAAAGGTTCTGTATGAGCCTGTTTTAATTCTTTCTTTGTGCTGTTCCCAGGTACACAAGTGTTCATGACGCGTGGGCAGCTGATGAACTGCCATCTCTGTGCTGGAATCAAACATAAAGTCTTGCTCCGTAGACTTCTGGCCACATTTTTCGATCGGTGAGTTCTGATCCGTGTTGTTTCAGTCCAAAGCACCACTTGAGCCTGTTTCATTGTTACTGCTGCTGTCACAAAGCCACTTTCACACTCCATCTGTGGCCTAGTGTGTGTCTGTGTGTGTGTCTGTGTCTCTGTTTGTGTGTGTGTCTCTGTGTGTGTGTTTCTCCATTTGTGTGTGTCTCTGTGTGTGTGTCTCTCTCTTTGTTTGTGTGTGTCTCTGTGTGTGTGTGTCTCTCTCTCTATGTGTGTGTGTGTGTCTCTCTCTCTGTGTGTGCGTGTCTCTCTCTCCGTGTGTGTGTCTGTGTGTGTCTCTCTCTTTGTGTGCGTGAGTGTGTGTCTCTCTGTGTGTGTGTCTGTGTGTGTGTCTCTCTTTGTGTGTGTGTGTGTGTGTGTATGTCTCCCTGTGTGTGTGTCTCTCTCTCTCTCTGTATGTCTCCCTGTGTGTGTGTGTCTCTCTCTCTCTGTGAGTGTGTCTGTGTGTGTGTGTCTCTCTGTGTGTGTGTTTATGTGTGTATGTCTCCCTGTGTGTGTCTCTCTCTCTCTGTATGTCTCCCTGTGTGTGTGTGTCTCTCTATGTGTGTGTGGCCCATTATTCTCCACTGTACTCCACATGTGCCTCCTGCTCGCGCCGCTCACGCCGCCCCCTGGTGTTGCTTCTGTGTCACTACAGAAACACTCTAGCCAATAGCTGTGGGACAGGAATCCGATCCTCCACGAGTGACCCGAGTCGAAAGCCCCTGGACAGCAGGGTCCTCAACGCTGTCAAACGTACGTCTCTGTCACTTTTAACCAACTGTTTTTTTATTTAATGTTTTATTGTTTTTTTACTGGTGGAAATACAGATACACAATACAAGGCCAGGCATACAAATAATATGATGATAAGACAACAACATAGAACAGACAACACTGTAGACATATAGTGTGTGTGTGTGTGTGTGTGTCTGTGTGTGTATGTATTAGCCTGTTGCGGTGGCTCCACTGTCATGCTGGTAGTGGGTGTGCCGGTGTGTGTGTCTGTGTGCCAGTGTGTGTCTGTGTGCTTGTGTTTGTGTATGTCTGTGTGCCAATGTATGTGTGTCTGTGTGCCAGTGTATGTGTGTGTCTTTCTCTCATTTTACCCTGTTGAGGTGGCTCGTTTGTCTGTGTATGTGTGTGTGTGTGTGTGTGTCTGTTTGTGTATGCACTTTCGCAGAGGAAAAAAATGAATACAAAATCAATAGTAACACAAATAACAAAAGAAAATAAAGTAACCGTTGTTTCATATTAAACTGATCAAAGCCACTTTTATTTTTAACATCAAAGAATCTAAATGTATTTCTTCTGCACAGTTCACACAGAATGCAACCCGGAGTGCTTCACATTGACAACATTTAAGACCAATTTAAATACACTGTAAAAACACACAAAAATATAAATTTAAGATTAAGATGAAAAGTGACAGATGGGGAAATGTCAGTGTTGCATCTGCAGTTACACAACAGTAGGAATGAGGAGCACACAACACAAGATAAAATAATAACTCTTTTTTTAAAATAAAATACAATAAATTCTCCAACTTTGGCATGATAAAGAAGCAAGGATAAAATTCTAGTATATTTTAGTATTGTATGTATATTCTAGTATTGTATGTATTGACACATACACATTGCTTTACTGAATAAGAAATCTCAAAGTCTGTCTTCTATAAACTCTCTTTCCTTTCAGTCTACTGTCAGAATTTCAACCCTAACTTCAAAGAAAGTGAAATGAACGTGATCGCTGCTGACATGTGCACCAACGCTCGCCGCGTCCGGAAGCGGTGGTTGCCCAAGATCAAGTCCATGCTTCCGGACGGGATGGAGGTGTACCGCGCCGGGATGGGCATGACCACCGCCCTGGGCCTGGGCCTGGCTCTGGGTGCGGCTCAACAGAACGTACAACTTCCCTTTGACCCCGACTTCAAAACTTTAGAGCAACGCTTGTACCCGGAGCGCAGCGACCCCCTGAGGACTCACGCCGGTCTGCCCGAGGGCGGCTCTGGTTCCGGAGGCGGCGAGGAAGCAGAGCCTGAAGCTAACGGCGTGAACGGGGAGCACGACGCGGACGAGGAGGCGCCGGTCGAGGCTAACGGGTCACTGGGAGCTCCGGCTATAGCTAACAACGTCCAAGCAAGCAGTGGCGCTGACGTGACCTCCAAGCAGCAGCAAGTAGAAGGCTTCGGGCAGAGTCTGAGAGTGAATGTACAGTGAACAACTGCTGCTATATCCAAGTTGTGAGATCTACATTTCCATCTTCTACCAACAGCTTCAGCATTTCTCCTGTGCGTGCTTCCTTTTTTTGGGGAAAAGTCTGTGCGTGGGAAACTTAACTGTAAAAAAAAACATGCATGAGGCTAACCCTGGCTCATGCTAACAATACAAACCTGATTGTAAAAGCAGACACAGGCATGACAAACAATCTGTTTTTCTATCATTAGCATTAGCATAGCTCTAGCTAAGCTCACAAGACAGTGTTTGTGAGTCTGTCTATGGACTCTCACAGCACTAGCATCTTACTTCTAGACAGGTTTACGGGTTGATTACTTTCACATATCTTCTCTGCTATCTCACATCCGGTCACATCTTTCATAACTTCCTTTAACTCCACATGAACTTGTTTTAACCATGTTTTAACCAATAATTAGCGACTAATTAACAACGACAATAACACAAAACATGTAGAGCCATTGGTCCATACACTGCAAAAAGTGATTAAAAATATGTCAAAAATTGCTCAAATTTGGCAAAATGTGTCTTAATTTGAGCACATTCTGACTGAGCCTTAAAACAAGATTCGCCAATGGGAAAAAGCAAAATGATCTTGTTTTATATTTTAACTTCATATTTGATACATTTTTGCAGTGTAAGAAGCAGATGGCTGTTGTCCATAAATGTGTCCTGGATCTCACCGCTGTCCTTAAACAAACTGCATCTAAACTCACAAACAAAGGCTGTGTGTGTGAGTCTGTCTTTTTGGGTCTCACAGCACTAGCATCTTACTTCTAGACAGGTTTACGGGTTTGACAAATAAGAAATGATTGGCTCCTAATTAACAACAACGAAATGGATTCTCAGTGTGATGTCTGTGTCTCCTTCATCCATAACCTGTTCTTGAACCACATTTGAAATACAAACACGTGTTTTTGTGCAACTGCAGAAACTTGAACACTGTCTGGTGGTGGGGGAAAAACACACACACACACACACCAGTGGCTTTTACCTTTTTCAAAAAATTCCCGGGAGAATCTTGGGAGACGTAACAACAGAGACATCGTCAAGAACACCAGACTGAAGAAGCTTGCGTGCATGAAAACAATGCAAGAACAGAGAGAGTGGAGAAGCGAGATGGAGGACGGGTGGAGATTCTCGCCGCTGCAGTCGTTATAGAGACGCAGGACATTGGGTTTGTGCTTGTCCCTGGAATCTGACCTCAGCCTCTTGTCTGCATCTTGAGGACTGGTGTATATTACTGTATGGTGCGTTCGTTCACACCAGGTGCAAGCGAGTGGTTGGCGTCATTGTTTTTGTTTTGTCTGTTCCTGTGTAAAGACCAGGGTAAATTATTGAGAACAGATGAAGAGTTTGTTGGCAAAAACAGATATTGCAGATTGGAAAATTTGTACAAAAGATAATAATAATGATGATATTTGGTTTTGGTTCGGTTGGCATTGGTTTTAACATGGCGCTTATCAGGACACTCAAAGAAGTTCACATGTTATTATTCTTTCACTCCATACACAGTGGTGGAAAACTACTAAAAACTAGCCATAGTTGCCCTGGGGCATACTGACAGAAGCAAGGCAACCAGTGTGAGCCATTGGTCCCTCCCACCACCACCAACCTAGCCTGGTCTTATCCATCCGTACACTAACGTCTGGGTCTGGTTCCCGTGTTTGCGATTACAATCGGTTGAATTCCATCCGACCAATCAGAGAGCGTGGGAGGCGGGTGTTGTAGTTAGTTGTGGGTCATGTCAAACTGGCAGGTTGTAGTTTGGCAATGGAGAAGAATGTGATAGTAAAGTAATCCGGTCTAGTTTTATCAAGAAATTGAAGCCGAAGCAAGAAGAATGTTTAGCAAATGTAATCGCTGGCAAAGATTGTGGCGCTACTCCCCACGGGCTCCGTAAGCGGCAAAGGAGATGGCTAAAGCTAGGCTAAATGCTAAATGCTAACGACTCACTCGGGCGCGTTACATACGTGACGTTAAACTCAGATCCAATGGTTTCAATCTGCAAAAGGAGTTATCCCCTCCCACCTGTTAGTCAATGGACCAAATCCAGACCTTAGTACGAAATGTAATTTGTACTATGGTGTGGTAAGACCAGGCTACCACCAACCATTCACACACATCAGACTCATTCTAAAGTGGGTTATGGCACTTTACAGCCAGGTGTTCCTAGAGGTCTCCCATCAATGTACGAACCAGTCCCTGCCCTGCTTAGATTTAAAGGTTTGACGGGATCTGGCTCAAGTAGGCGAGAAACTTTATTAGTATAACAGTAACATAACTTTACAGAGAGCTGCTTGGTAAAGGGCAAAGCTTTTCAATTATATCTTATCTGTTTTTGCAAATGAATGATTCAAATATTCTGCTGGTTATTCCATGTACACTCAAGAAAAGATTGACATAATTTGATATTTTTGTAATGAAGACTTTCCGAAATAATCTCCAAGAGAAAAAAGGTCTGTTTTTAATTAATAACTGAGCGGCCGGTAACGAGGACACCTGTGTCTCTTTGTTTATCAAATTGAATGTGTTTTTAAAATAACTTCAGAGTTTAGTAGTGTGTGTGATCTGGCCAATCGATTATCACGATCTTGTTCCAGAGTGAGGGAAGGATGGAGCGTGAGATTGACAGTCAGAGCTGTATGGGACTGTTGTGGTGAAGAGGGAGCAGCGTCTGCAGTCAGAGCTCTAAGCCCCCTCTCTCACCTCTGGTCCTGAGAAATGATCTTAAGGACGGAGATCGCGGTTTCAAGCTCCACATGAGTTTCATCTGGAGAGTGACTGGGCGCTCCCTTAGAGATAGGGCGAGGAGCTCAGAGTAGAGCCGCTGCTTCTCCACATGACACTGGGAGGAGACCAGAGGAAGTCCCAGGCCACAGTGGAGGGACTGTGTCTCTCAGCTGGCCTGGGAACTCCTCAGGATTCCCTCTGGATGAGCTGGAGGAAGTGTGTGTGTGGTCTCTCTGCTCAGACAGGCTGCCACCGCCACCCGGCAACAGATAAAGCGGAAGATAATGAATGGACAGATTTTTAACTTGTTGGTGCCACCCGAAGGACAGAGCGGCGGTTGTGGCACAGATCGCGGCTCTGTTTAAGATGCACAAAAGGCAAAAATTGCACACCAGACGAAAAGTTTACAAATTTAAAATGGTTTTTAAGTGAGCGCCCCTTTAAAGGCCTGGAAAGAGCTGTTCGTTTGTGGTTCGGTAAAAGTGTAGCATCACAAACATATGTTGTTTTCTCTCCTAATTCTTTTTATCTTCTGTATATTTGTGTGTGTGGCTGTTGGCGCGCTCTAAGCCTTTGTGATTGTGCCGTACACGTCTTTCAATGCGGTTAAAACCAGGAAGAAGTGTACGATAAATCACACGTAACAGCCTCTTCCCCATTCTTATCCAATGTGATTTCTGTTCATTGATGTGGTATAGAGGGGTTTAATTTTTTTACTTCTTAGACAAAAACATGAGGTCTTTTTTAACTGAATATTTCAAACTTACGGCCTCACTATCTCCAGTGTCAGACCAATGAAAGTGAACCTGACATAAGTGTTGTCTTCCCAATACATTTGAGGATTTTAAAATTCTCTAAAAAAAACCCAACCAAACAACGCAGTACAAAAACATGCACTATCGGACTATCTTTGACCCTCAATTGCAGTATAAATGAAACCAAAAATGCAAAAATTACTGAAAAATAAAAAATTCTTGAGGTGGGTGTTGGAGCAGTGCCTTAGATTGTTACTGTGTGAATATGTTGTGCACAAACTACTACATGCTCAAAACAAAAAGACAAAAAGGATTAACAGCAGCCATATCTCGCTGATGTATCTATAATAATAATACACACATCTCCTACCTGAATAACAGTGTATAGCCCCGTTTCCACCAACCCTACTTGGTCCTACTCTACTACTCATTTTGACGGCTCCCATTCAAATCAAAGGGATTCTGAAAAAATGAATTATACTAAAACTGGTTAATAAAACTTGAAATCCTCCAAAAGCCGTCGAATTGACTGCTATTGGAGTTTTAGTGTTAACCGGTCCTTCTTTGATCCCTCTTAGCCCAGGTTCTATCCAGGCCGATCTGGTGCTAAAGTGTTCTAACTGACAGTGATTGTCCAGATGCTGCTGGAAGCCATGGTTACCAAGGAATAGCCGCGGATACTGGTTTGTTGTGAGTAGGTTGCTACGTTGCTGGTACCAGATACTAAAGTGTAATGGGACTATAGGTAGAGTTTGGCCAAGGAGAGCTGGTGGAAATGGGGCTTTTGAAAGCTCAATTGTCTCTGTTCTCTGGGTTCAAGGAAAACCAGATTATAATGAATTATTGTTATAAAGAATCTATTAGAAATTACAGTATTTGCCGGACTATAAGCTGCTACTTTAAAAACATACTTTGAACCCTGCGGTCTGTATCGCGATGCAAACAAGCTATGTATTTTTATTGTGATGGAGTTAGAGTGTTTAGGAGCTTTAGGACGCACGTTTATTGTGCTAAATGAGGCCTGACATGGAAGCTAACAGCTAAGGTTAGCATGCCAATGTTTTCAGATCGTGTTATTTAGCTTTATCTTTACCTATAACAAATAAACAGAGTTAAACAACCTAAACCAAGTTAAATCCAGTTTCTATCTATCGGCTTCAAACACCAGAACTCCCAGAGCAGCCAATTTGACTGCTTTGTGCTTTGGAATTAAGTTTTTTAATGGAGTAGAGAAGTAGAGTAAGTAAGTAAGTAGTAAGTAAGTTTTTATTTATATACCGCCTTTTCACTGCAGATCTGAGTCTCAAAGCGGTTTACAATTGTTATTATTTTTAGGGCATTTGTCCTCTCACTCCACACAGAGATGGGAGGGGGGTCGCCAGTACAGGAGGCACATGCCAGACCTATTGGACATATTTTTAGTGGTAGGGGAAACCGGAGTACCCGGAGGAAACCTACGCAGACACGGGGAGAACATGCAAACTCCACTCAGAAAGGCCGTGGTCCGACCGGGATTCGAACCCAGGACCTTCTTGCTGAGAGGCGAGAGTGCTATCCACTCAGCCACCGTGCCGCCCTAGAGAAGAGCAGTCACTAGTTACCATAGCAACAGACTGTTAGCAGTTAGCGTTAGCCTTTTTTTAAATGTATTTCAAGCATAGACTGTAAACATTAAAATATATTCATCAGTTTTAGCTCTTATTAAAAGTGAGTAAAGGTCAATTTGAGTAAAACAGGTACATTTTATCAGAATTTAATTGATTTGAAGTGGAGCGGTCAAAATGGCGTCTCTGGGAGTTCTGGTAGTTTCATATCCCTAGTCATTGTGTTAAGTATCACATGACAAACACAAAACCCCGCAGCTTATACTCAAGTGTGGTTTATATGTTAAATTGGACTTTCTCTTCCCACTGGTGCGGTTCATATACAGTAGCGCTTCATGGTCCAGCAAGTACTGTCCGTGTTCCGGTTACTTCTCGGAGGATAAGCTAGATGCGGTTGTGTCGGAATAAGAAAAACATGTTTGTATTGTCCTGTATTTTTTCTATTGTAACATATGCCATTTTTATACCAAACAAAGACAATGTATGACACTGGCCACATGGTCCCGCTTTAGATTAGACCTCATGAGCTAACAGCTAATTAAGTGTTAATTAGTGAATAAATTATGGTTAATTAGCACTTAATTTGAATGTGTTAAGCGCTCATTAGTCCTGATATAACATCTAACTAACTACTATCTGATACTTTCCCATGTAGGTTAGGGTTAGGGCTATGGCTAGGGTAAGGGTTAGGGCCATGGCTAGGGTTAGGGCTATGGCTAGGGCTAGAGTTAGGGTTAGGGCCATGGCTAGGGTTAGGGCTAGGGCTAGAGTTAGGGTTAGGGCCATGGCTAGGGTTAGGGCTAGGGCTAGAGTTAGGGTTAGGGCTATGGCTAGGGTTAGGGCTAGGGCTAGAGTGGAGGTTAGGGTTAGGGCTATGGCTAGGGTTAGGGTTAGAGCTACGGCTATGGTTAGGGCTACGGTTACGGCAGTGGCTAGGGTTAGGGCTACAGTTACGGCAGTGGCTAGGGTTGGAGCTACAGCTAGGGCTGGGGCTAGGGCTATGGCTTGGGCTAGAGTTATGGCCAAGGGCAGGTTTAGTGTTAGAGGTGGGCTACGGCTAGGGCTAGGTTTAGGGTTAGGGCTACAGTTACCAGGTTAAGGGTTAGGAATACTGCTAGGGTTAGGGTACACTAAATAACACTTGATTAGCTGTTAAATAGTGAGGGTGAATCTAAAGTGCTACCGGCCACATTTGTTGAATGAAGAATAACCATAAGACAAAATTGCCTTGGCAACTAAACCCTAGCGTTTTAATATCACACCATGCTCAGATCATCCCATAACAAGTGTAAGACAGATATGAAACAGGATCGCTTCAATTACTCTCTTTGGTAACGTGAGAACTGTACATTAATATGCAAACTCACAGTTGTACTCATAAAAATGCATGCCTTTTCAGATGCCACACGTAAGACAATGAAACCTCTGAATCTTATGCACCGTGTATTATAAATGCTGAAAAACTCGCCACTGTTTGCAGACTTGGCTATGAACTCTTGCATTGACTTAGGCTGTGTTTTCTCACACCCTGGCCTTCAAAATGAATGTTTCCCATTCAGTTTCAGCTTATTGTAAAGAATACAGCAATCTAGTGCAAATCTCATACCTACCTAGTGTGCATTTATGTTCTGTTTTTCTATTTTAATGCACTAAATGTTTTTTTTTTAAAAGTGTATACGTACAGTTTGTTTTCGAATACAATGCCAGCACTTTAGAATTTAGATATTGAAAGAAACTGTCAAGGATTTAAGAGTGACAAAAGCAACTTTTAAAGCCATGTGCTCTGAGCGCTGACAATCAGAACAAGGATGCGACCCCAAAGTGCACTATTGGGAGAGTGAACCGTGTTAGTGCTGTTTGGTTTGTCATTGTCCAGCTTGCTTTCTCCACAGCTGCTTGCCTAATTTGATAAACAGGTTCGATAGATTTACTTAAAAAAAACGAGGAGTGTTTGTTTCCGCGGCGAGGCTAACGAATGACACTCTTTCCTTGGTGCTTTGTTCAGAAAGTCGCCTGTGTTGACATAGGCCAAATTTGCAATGCTCTGGTAAGCATGGGTCTTCATGGGACTCACCGATAACCTCTCGATGGGCAACAGTCCATCGCTAAACGGACTTTATGGTATTCTTTTCTATCAACAGGGCTTGGACCAGCAAATCTAGGATGGAATACTTTTAATGTCGATACTGCTTTCGAATCTAGTGTTGGTCTGTGTATGCGCCTTCTGACTCAAGCTTCAATACTGTACACAACTGAGACGCATATTGAGTTGCCACTTTAGATGTTGCATATATCTCTCATTCCCATCTTGGTATTTGCTAACATCACTTTCAGTTGTGTGATTCATGTTGACATGCAATAAAGGTCTGCTTTCTATTAAAAGATCCTTACTTCATCAACTTAAGCCAACGTTTCTGTCTTTTTTTTGTCTGTCTGAGATTGCGTTCTGCACGAAAATGTGTGAAAATGTTTATTTGTATTTTGTTTTTTCTATTCCTACATGTTTACATCATTATTAAGTCCAATTTCTCACCTTAGCATAATAAAGAAGCAAGTATAAAATCTCTAACTTTAACATAGCAAGTGTAAAATGCTGTATATCCTTGTGCACTAAATATAGTTTTATGTTTACATCTATACTTGTTAGCAGCATGAGGGTATGAGACAAAGTGACAGTAGACCTTGGATGTATTATAATATCAGTGAACATATTAGAGAAGATAAACACAAGGTTACATACATGAGGTTCTATATTGAACAAAGGGCAACATGGTGGTTCTCTCCCCTCTGTCTGTGGGTTTCCTCCGGATGCTCCAGTTTCTTACCACTGGCAGGATCCATGCCAATAAAATAGGTTTACTACTGCGACCACTGCTCCTGACGTAAGCCTTCGCGGCATCAGGATGGGTCAAATGCAGAGGATTGAATCGCCCTACGGATCAATAAAGTGCTCCTTTACCTTTAATAGATTAATAATAGATAAAGATCAATAATCTCTAAATACGCAAAAAGGAGTGAGAAAATATTAATATACTAAGTTTCTCGAATATTCGGACATATCAGTGTAACGGTTGTAAACATTTGCCAGATTCGAAATAAAAAATAAATAAATAATAATTGTTGCAGGATGATGACGTTGCAGTGACGCAATTAAGCGACGCGCTGAGATGGAAGCGCGGTGTGTTCGGTTTCAGAGAGAGGAACGTTAACTAACTGACGGAATAATCCCAGGTCCATAACGTTTGCCACAGACTGAGTTCGACATGAGCGACGACACGGACTCTCCCCCAGAGAGGGAGATGAAGGTGAGGCCCGGCTCTGTCTGTGGCTAAACATGGAGTCTGTGGTTAGCTTAGCATGGCTAGTCCTTCTGTCGCACTAACGTCTGATCTGGCTCCTGTTTCACTTAGTTTCAGAATAAACAACTTCTGTCCTGTGTTTGTATTGAGTTCATCTAAAGCTTTCATTTGTGGCGGTGGTGTTGGCAGTTGTTGTAAACCAAGCTTTGTATTTCAGAGAGTATACTTGAAATAAAAACAAACCAACTGCGAGAGGATAGTTTTAATTCGTGGAAAAGGTGCTGATGATAGACGCATTCTTCTACCACCTATAGATCTATACCATCAACAATGCTTTAATAGAATAAGAATGATAGCGTCTGATTCTGACTTGTTGGAGATTTTTATCCTGCATCTGTCTCCAGTTGGTGTCAGACTCACTGGGCTCACCAAACAAGCTCAGTATAATCAAAACACTGCAGCGCCAGTCCAGGCTAGAACCAGGAAGCACCATCACATTAGTCCTGGTCTCAGGTCTCTGCTTCCTGTGGCTCAGAGAAAATACTTTTGAGTTTCTCCATGCCCTCCACCTGTTGGGACTGGCCTCCTGCTGGGACTCTGAGGAGCACAGGGACTGGCCTCCTGCTGGGACTCTGAGGAGCACAGGGACTGGCCTCCTGCTGGGACTCTGAGGAGCACAGGGACTGGCCTCCTGCTGGGACTCTGAGGAGCACAGGGACTGGCCTCCTGCTGGGACTCTGAGGAGCACAGGGACTGGTCTCCTGCTGGGACTCTGAGGAGCACAGGGACTGGCCTCCTGCTGGGACTCTGAGGAGCACAGGGACTGGCCTCCTGCTGGGACTCTGAGGAGCACAGGGACTGGCCTCCTGCTGGGACTCTGAGGAGCACAGGGACTGGCCTCCTGCTGGGACTCTGAGGAGCACAGGGACTGGCCTCCTGCTGGGACTCTGAGGAGCACAGGGACTGGCCTCCTGCTGGGACTCTGAGGAGCACAGGGACTGGTCTCCTGCTGGGACTCTGAGGAGCACAGGGACTGGCCTCCTGCTGGGACTCTGAGGAGCACAGGGACTGGCCTCCTGCTGGGACTCTGAGGAGCACAGGGACTGGCCTCCTGCTGGGACTCTGAGGAGCACAGGGACTGGCCTCCTGCTGGGACTCTGAGGAGCACAGGGACTGGCCTCCTGCTGGGACTCTGAGGAGCACAGGGACTGGACTCCTGCTGGGACTCTGAGGAGCACAGGGACTGGCCTCCTGCTGGGACTCTGAGGAGCACAGGGACTGGCCTCCTGCTGGGACTCTGAGGAGCACAGGGACTGGCCTCCTGCTGGGACTCTGAGGAGCACAGGGACTGGCCTCCTGCTGGGACTCTGAGGAGCACAGGGACTGGCCCCTCCTGATTGGACTCTAGTTTAAAACAGTTAATTTTAGCTGTGCAACTGAAAGCCTGTATCTTAATATATTGTGATTATTTATAATGCCTTGTGTGATTTTAATTGTTTTGTTAAGCTCTGTGCGTTGCCTTGTGTATGAACTGTGCTTCAAATAAACTTTCCTTGCCATTCAAACAATGTAACCTTTATGTATGTACATTACAGGATTTTCAATTTCGTCAAATGAAGAAAATCCGTGTGTTTGACTCGCCAGAAGAGCTTCCCAAAGACAGGTCCAGTCTTCTCGCAGTTTCAAATAAATATGGATTTACTTTTGTGGGCCTTGGTTCCACATTTAAAGCTTTTCTCACACAAGACTTACTCGCTGTTGATAAAGCTGACGGCAATGCTAATGAAATAAGTAAGTTTCTGTTCCTTCATGTATCGTCCCAGTGTGCAGGTGGTCATTTTACGTCCCTTCTCTTTAGTTGAAGGACTTGGCAGCGTCGCCGAGGTGGAAGTGGGTCTCGTCCTGCATCACGTCGCTCTGAGCTGCGATGAACTCACTCTCTCTGTCTGTGGGATTTCTGACGGAGTTTTATCCCTGACGTTTTATGACGTCCGCACCTTCATCAACAAGGTGAGCCTCCTGTACCTGCTCTACTTTTTACTTTTCAATTGTGTTGTGGATACTGCTGCGTCTGCTTTGCATTGGCCTAAAACATGGGCGTCAAAAAGTCAAGGCCCGGGTCCAGATCCGGCCCTCGAATTATTGATCTTGGTCCGCAGGATGATATTTGATTAGAATTAGAACCGGCCGCACAGAGCCATAAGAAAATATTCATTAATTAATTTAATGTTCAGGACGTGTGTTTTCTCTTTGAAGGAAGTTTGTTTTTGTCTATAAGTCTGTTGGCAAATGTTTTAACTTGAAATGACCTGCAGAGCCACAAAAATATTGGATTATTAATTTAGTCCTTAAATAAAATACGGTCCACTGTATATTTTAATGTTTTGATAAACACTGAACCGGCCCTCGGCTTGTAGCACATTTGTTTTTCTGGCCTCTTGATATATTTGACTTTGACATCCCTGGCATAAAACTTTCCTCTGACTTAAAACTACAAAGTGACTTAAACATCTTAAACCTGAAACTGTGGCTGAAATCATAGCCATGTTCATATTTTTTAGGAATTTAAAATGTGTGCATTTAAGTCCTAAACGCCTCCTTTAGAAAATCCTGTTGAAAATTAGCAAAGTCTTACTACAACACTAAAGACAGTGCATCTGCTCTTTTCAATGTAACTGTTGTCTCCATATCCAACCAATAAATCCACCCTCGCTGTGTGAACTGAGTCTGCTGTCAGACTGTACAACAAACAACGAGGACTAACGGACACTGCCGCCCTGACCTCACATGTGATAAAATATAGTCTATGATTTATTGTATATGCAAAATAGAAGCACATGTGTCAGTCTGTGGGGCGACAGTGGCTCAGTTGGTAGAGCATTGGCCTTTGAGCCTGAAGGTCGTGGGTTCGAGTCCACCACGAGACCTACTCCACCGACTCCCACTGATGTCTGCTGTCGTCGTGTCCTTGGGCAAGACACTTAACCCCACTTTGCCTGAAGCCCCCACTGAAAGATCTCCGCTCCTGTGGACTCACCACCTGCAGGAGGATCAGTGAGGGGCTGGTGCTCTGTGTACTGGGTGCAGCTCTGACTGCCACCCCCCCGACCCAGAAATGGATTAAGGGGAAGAAAATGGATGGATGTGTCAGTCTGTGTGCTGCTGATGAACAGATGGAAACACACAACTACAGATGTCTGCACTAGAATATACAGTTGTTTACACTTTCTTCTTTATTATGCTAAAGTTGAGATCCTATTTTGTTTAAGTGTCGAGTTATTGTTTATTTATCTGGTGTTTTGCTGCTCCTCATTCCTACTGTCCTGTACCTGCTGATGCAACACTGACATTTCCCCGCTGTGTGACAATTTTTAATTTTTTTTATTGTCACTTTTTTATTGTACATAATTATATCCTGCACACAGACTATATTTTTAACCTTTAACATGTAGCACTTCTGTCTGTTGCACAATCTGAGTGATTCTATCTGTGCCAAATGTCTCCAGTGTGAGATCAATAATGTCTATATTATCTGTTATCTTATAAAGGATCTCTTCATCTTGATTTTAAACTGTTTTCTGGATGCCTGATGAATAATCCCAATCTGCACTGAAAAGTCACCACTACTCTATTTTACTAAACTGACTTCTCCTAATTATTTTCGTCTATATTTATTATTATTATCAGTCGTCAGCGATAGTTCTGTTAATAGTCGGTTGGTTGCAGCCTAATGCATGACGCTGTTGTTATAGAAATATATACCCCATGAAGGAGAAAACTCAAAGGTCCTTTGTCTGATCAAAAGCGTAAGTTTATTGTTAACGCACAGTGCGGAGAGTCAGCATATGCACACAACGGCAGCATGCTCAGCTCTGGGGGCCAGAGCCCCCAGCTTCCTGTATCCAAGACACACACCAAAGATAGTCACGCCCACAACGGAGCGGAGGGGGCCACCGGTGAGGAGGCGCACAGGAAGCGCCGGCGCCATCCCCTGTGGTGGCAGTGGCATGGGGTGTGAACAGACAGACAACGGTGGAAATGCAGGTCATACAGATGCAAGACGGAAAGACACAAGGGTGTGACAGACAGCAGGGACCTTCACAAAGCTCAGCATGGCGTCAGAAGGTCGTCCGCACTGACAAAAGGCCTCCGACGTCCGTGTATTTGCTGCGGCTGGTTTTATGTAATTACTCCAAAAACTGTCACCACACTCCCCTCTTCTGATAATTCAAAACCATTTTTGCATTAATCAGTTAAATACCAGAGGCATCGTAATCACACCACCTTCAAGCTTAAAACACTTAAATTATTGCTGTCCAAAGTGGACAAGAAAAGACACATGCTTGTCAATAAAAGAAAGAGCACATTATAATAACACAATGGATCCGGACAGCGATAAGAGAAGGCAATATTAACATAATAAACACGGTCAGCACGGAAAGTAGTGTCAGTGTGGCCAGCATAACAGTCCAAGGGCCCATTCCGGTCTTAGCCGGGCTACGTTCGGTAGTCTTTTCCGCGGGAATACTCACGAGCAGTGCCGTCTCGCAGTCAGTGGCACCGCTCCCTATGAGCGTGTGTGGAGCGTTAGTGGTCATGGCGATGTTTGGTCTTGGAGCGGCAAGACTCTAATTGCGTTGAAGCCTTGGCCTCAGCACTCGGTTGGGCAGAGTGCTCGGGGTTTGGGGTGTGGAGACCATGGCTTGAGCACGCTCCAGATCGGCCAGGCCCAAAGCTCATTTGATGGGAGACCTCATGACAGCACGCTTCACCATGTGCCTCATCAGGAACTGTAGAGCAGCCCTCATCTCCACCTCCTCCGGACACACGGGAGACGAGACACCAGGGGGCACTCCAGCAGAGCTCAAATCTGCATTATGGCCAGAGGGAACAAGCTCTGGAGAAATCTTTGGAATGGGCAGCAGCTCTGCATACTTGCTGAGCAGAGCGCTCAGGGCCTTCATGGCTCCCAGGCCTTGGGGTCCGGGGGCTGGGGAGTTGGGCAAAGGGGGGTCGCCTCGGGAACGCTGGGATTCTCTGGGTGTTGTTGTTGGCCTGCTTCACCGACGGTGGTCGCACGCCGGCAGACCTACTCAGCGTAGGGAGCCGCGGATGGGCCTGGTCCGTCCGCGCCCTCGGTGTCCTCGTCTATGGCCCTCAGTGGCAGCACCGCACGACAGTGGTTGGCGTGGATCCAAGTTGTCCTCTCCGCGACCTTAACGGCAGTGTCCGTCACCAGGAGGGCGAGGAATGGGCCGAGCCAGCGCTTGGACCGCCAATGCTTTCGTCTCGTTTCCTTCATCAGGACCCAGTCGCCTGCGCAGCCTGTGGCAGGGCGCTCCTGACCTGGGCAGAAATAGAGGACAAAAGTGCATTAATTTCCTTACAATAGGACAGCATGTCGTCATCACACAAAGAGGTGCTTGGCAGATCTCTGTTCGGGGGTCCCGCGCCCAACGTGGGGCTAGCGGCAGAGCTTTGAGTGCCATTCTCTCGCTCGCCCGTGCCTCCGGACCAGGGGGCGTAAGTAAGTAAGTAAGTAAGTTTTTATTTATATACCGCCTTTTCACTGCAGATCTGAGTCTCAAAGCGGTTTACAATTGTTAATTTTGGGCATTTGTCTCTCACTCCACACAGAGATGGGAGCGGGGTCGCCAGTACAGGAGGCGCATGCCAGACCTATTGGACATATTTTTAGTGGTAGGGGAAACCGGAGTACCCGGAGGAAACCTACGCAGACACGGGGAGAACATGCAAACTCCACTCAGAAAGGCCCTGGTCCGACCGGGATTCGAACCCAGGACCTTCTTGCTGAGAGGCGAGAGTGCTATCCACTCAGCCACCGTGCCGCCCCAACTGCGTAACTGCAGTGTTTACGTATATCAATGCCCAGAAATTCACCCACTTCCTCAATGACTTTTGCTACAAAGTGACTCACCACCGCGTTGCTCGTGGCGTGTATGCCTGCAAATACTTCAGTCCATTTGGACCAGAGATCCGCCAGACCCAGACAGTATTACTTACCTTGGCATGGTGTGAGTTCAACAAAGTCCCTTTGGACATGTTGAAATGGGCGCAGGGGCGGAGGATGAGCAGCCTGTTGGATACTTTTGGGACTTACCTGGGTTGTGCGCGGGGCATATAGCGCATGTTTGGCTGAATCTCTGTGCAAATGCCGTAAACCCCTTTGTATACCAATTTTGTGTGATTAAATCACACATCATCCCTCCTTTTGAGGCATGGTCTCGACCATGTGCTAAAATTGCAAACTGTCTGAAGAAATGCCGTGGTAGGCACGGTTTGCTGTCTGGTCCCAGCCACACACACCATGCCGTCGTTGAGCCCCATTCCCCTCTCACAGCAGCGTCTCTGCTGGAGTAGAAAATATCAACGTCTTGAGTGAGGTAGTGTGTGTGTGTGTGTGTAGAGGTGCGTATGCCGCTGCCTTGTCCGCGCGCCGATTCCCTGCAGAGATGGGATCAGTGGCATTAGTGTGGGCCTGGCATTTGCATACAGCGATCTCTAAGGGCAACATTACAGCTTTCAGCAGACGTTCAACCTGTGTGGAATTAAGAATTGGTTTACCATCAGATTTCATAAAATTGCGGTGTTTCCACAGTGCTTCCCAGTCGTGCACTACAGAGAAACCATAGCGCGTATCACATAATATGTTAACAGTTTTGCCCGCTGCCAGCTCACACGCCCCGGTGGGCGCGACCAGCTCAGCGGTTTGTGCTGAGTGGTAGTGGGGCAAACTACCAGAGTCTATAGTATCAAAATCAGAACACACAGCATAGCCGACTCGGTTCTTCCCAGTGTTGTCACGTGACGCGGCTCCGTCTGTATAAAAAAAATCAAGTCAGGATTAGTCAGAGGCACCTCTTTCAGGTCTGGCCTGGGAGTGCATCTCTGCTCTATTGTGGCGATACAGCAGCGTGCCTCCCCTTTGTACCCCAGCCAACGAGCCGCAGAAAGGTGAGAGGCCCTCTGCTCTAACAGGATCAGGGAAACAGCATGGGGCACAAGCAAAGTTAGTTCAGTGTATCCCACAAGGTCACGTGATGCTAGGGCCGCTTTCTCAGCGGCAGCCACAGCCCGCAGGCAGCGAGGCAACCCTGCTGCCACGGGATCGAGTTTTGCTGAGAAGTAAGCAGTGGGTCTCAGTGGCCCTCAGTGAGGCTGCAAAAGTACCGACTGTTCCGTTCATCTCCAGTTGCTTTTCTCCCGGATCGTCCTCAATTCATATTGTGGGCTTTTGTGCCAAAGTGGAGGCTCATTTCCTCCTGATCCATACTACTGTCATCCCTGGAGCAGGGGTAGTTTATCTCTCATCTGAAAAAGAAATATCAGAACACAAAAAACACAAAAAATGCCCACTTTCGCTTGTCAATCTTTTTCCAATTGGGCAAAACATAACTGCATTGACAGACGGTGTTTGACATCAGGGCAGAGGCTGTAGCAAAATACAGACTTAACAAAATGTATGTTTCTAATTTTATACTTCCCTAAATGTGAGTTTACAACCAAAGTTGTCCTTCACCCAACGACAGCTCACTGCGGTTGGACTGTGTCGCTGTCAGGACAAACAGCAGAGGGAGGAACTCCCAATATCTTCAGCGAGGTATTTCATCTCCGAGTACTTTCCGCAGAGTACTTTTCTCCGAGTACTCATCCCAGAGTACTCTCACTTTTACACCTGTTCAATAAAGCTTGTTATCTTTGAATCTCTAGTACTTACACCGTATGCTGTTGACAAAAAAATAATTATTCCATGATCACATTAAAACATTACAGACACATTTGTTATTCCATGATTCCGTTCAGCATTCCTCAGTTCACTCCTTATTTCACACATCACACTCATATCACAGTCACATCACAGTCACATCACAGGCCGATTCCCCCACGTTAGTATTTTGGTCCAGTTTGTTAAGGTCGACGTAGTGTACTTTGACATGACACACAAACATATAACATACACAAAACATATAACACACAAACATGTAACACACACAGAAGGCCTGTACTTTTAACTTTGTTATATTTTCCATGTCCAATTACAATTGTCTCATGAGCTATTCCTATTGTTGCAACTTCCAGAGCCTGCAGAACATGCAAAGCTTTTTAAGAGATTTTTCCTAAAAAAAAAGAAATCCATTTCCAACTTTAGTGTTTACCACGTGGTCTATACTTCGGGCTTATCACAGATTGTGTCCCCTATATCTCTAATGAGCTCTTGTCACCTAAAAAAAATGTTTATTTTCCTTATTTTTTTTTTTCTTTTTCAATAAAGCCAGGTCGGATTCATTAAAAATGTAAATTAGTCTCAAACTTTAATACTTCACCTTTGTTTCACGATAAAATGTTTTTGTTGCTCATTAAGTAGCACAGATAGTGGTGCCTATCTCAATAAACGTACTCCGTTAGCCTATCTTCCCTACACTGCATGAATTTTCAAACTCCAAGTTATTGTCTGGGAACGACCGGAGAGAGCAGCTTAGGTCGTTCGCGTGGTTGACCTCCAAATTTTGTGCGGGCGTCACTATCCACTTGTTGTGGCTAATAACTTAGCAATCTCAGGGTTTGGTGTCAATTTCCAGTGGTAGTTAACTTTTGGGACCGGTGCCTCCTTTTATTTATCTATTTTTAATTGAGTCTGCACATAAGGTCTCGGCCTAGTAGGTTAACCGGGCACAATGGGGAATATAGAAAAGAATGTTTAAGCTGGTTGCCCTGAGAATCAAAACACGTTAGCGGTGACGTAAATTGCTCTTTAGTCGTCTCTCCCGACGCTGCTAATTAGAATATGAAGCGGCCGCTCATTTTAGGGGAGACAGAAAGGCTGTCACTTTTTAGCACAGAATTTGTTGCCCCGGAGTCATCCAGAATTTTAACTTGTACACCACAGGTTGTTAGCGTATATTACGGGCATGAATTATCTCTAAAAAGTGCCAATTGCAATTTGTTGTTGTTCAACTTACATGAGCGGTCGCTTTGGTGACGAATGTGAACCCAGGTTTGGTCAGTCGCTCGTGTTTCCTCCGTGCCCGCCTCTGCCGTCCTCTGGCCCCGTGTGAGCCTCTGCCTTTAACGCCTCCTCCGGTGACAGTCCTTCGACCCATGTCGAGCACACAGTCTTTCCGCCGGGCTGTGGAAGTTTTTCAAAGTCCGCAGGAGGCCCAGGTAGCCCAAAGCGTTAGCATGTGGTCCATGAGGGTTGGTGAATGACCCAAACGTGCCGGTACTTTTGGCTTCTTCTGTTTGCGGTGCGGGAACAACTTTCAAGCGGGTTTCCGCGGGTGCGTTTGGTATATCACGCTGCCCCCTCCGTGGAGAACAGTCACGGGATTTGTAGCAGTTTCTCTCTGTGCTCCAAAGCAGTTCTCGGTGTCTCACATATTTGCTTCCCCGCTTTCTTCTTCTGTGGTTTCCTGAGCGTGTGTCTGTTTCCGCCTCTTCTTCTTCTGCGGTTTGGGCCCACTTCTCGCGGGGTCTCAGCTGGTGCGAGCGCCGCCTGTGGTTGGGGCGTGGGGCTGGTGCTTTGAGGCAGAGGACAGTGCGCGGAGGAAAGGCGCCGACAGACCTGGATAGGGAGAGGAAGAGGGACAACAGTAGTCTGCTCATTTTTTAAAAACCCAACGCCTTGTTTGGGTGCACACTTATTGTTAGTAGGGGTAGGGTGGGGGTGTGGGGGATGTGTGTGTGTGTCCGCCTCTGTGTTCTCCGCTTCGGTGAAAAGCGGAGGAGCTATTGTTTTTACATATTTCTTTCTCTAACCTCTTTTGCCGTGATATTCTTAAAACCAAGTATATTTTTTCTTCCCTTCTTCTAAATTATCACGCAAGATGCGTAATGGCCTGCACCATAGGCAAGCACTCCATAGCTTGCATCTCCTAGATTGATTTTTACCCATTTTCTCGTACGAACAATGGGCCTAACCCGCTTAGTCTCTCCCTGCTCCTACCCACTTTGGGGCGCTCCATTCCCCCCTCGCTGGTTCAACCAGCGAGCGCGCGTTCTTGAAATGGAGTGGTTCTGGCTGAAGACACTTGGAGAAATTTTCAGGGTCGCCTACAGGACGATACTAACGCGCAGCCGCTAGTTTCAATCTAGAGCAAAAAGCCCCCCAAAAAATCCCGCACACAGACTATGCTGTGGCAATGAATGAAATACCCCAAAAATACATAAATAAACAAATCCCCGTGTACACTTAAGTGCTGCCCTGGGCTCGTTACGCAGATGAAAAGACAAGACTCACCAGATTAGGTTCTTTTTGGTCTTGTGTGGCAAAAGGATTCCTTCCGTGCGTGGACGAGCGCGCTCTCCCTTGTCTCCAAAAAGGAACAGAGGCTGGTGATCCAGGTCGGCCAAACAAAGCCGCTCGTCCCCGCCGAAAGTATCCCATGCCAAGACATGTCAGCAACGCCAAATTGTTATAGAAATATATACCCCATGAAGGAGAAAACTCAAAGGTCCTTTGTCTGATCAAAAGCGTAAGTTTATTGTTAACGCACAGTGCGGAGAGTCAGCATATGCACACAACGGCAGCATGCTCAGCTCTGGGGGCCAGAGCCCCCAGCTTCCTGTATCCAAGACACACACCAAAGATAGTCACGCCCACAACGGAGCGGAGGGGGCCACCGGTGAGGAGGCGCACAGGAAGCGCCGGCGCCATCCCCTGTGGTGGCAGTGGCATGGGGTGTGAACAGACAGACAACGGTGGAAATGCAGGTCATACAGATGCAAGACGGAAAGACACAAGGGTGTGACAGACAGCAGGGACCTTCACAAAGCTCAGCATGGCGTCAGAAGGTCGTCCGCACTGACAAAAGGCCTCCGACGTCCGTGTATTTGCTGCGGCTGGTTTTATGTAATTACTCCAAAAACTGTCACCACACTGTGTTACGCCTTTTCTCTTTTGGTTTTCTCTTTCAGAACCGGGCTCAGAAGTTGCCGTTCGCGGTCTTCAGGCCCGAGCAGAGCAACACGTTTGTGCAGGACCTGAGGTGGAACCCGGCGGCTGCTTCCATGCTGGCCGTGTGCCTCTCTGACGGCAGCCTCACCATCATGGACGTTACTGATGCTGCCAAGGTCCTGGCCACTCTGCCCGGCGCTCAGGGCATCACCAGCAGTGAGTTCAGTGTGACCTCTTTCCAAGGAGCTCTGCGAAGTGAATCTAACGTTTGTTTTTCACAGTTTGCTGGAGTCCAAAGGGAAAACAAATCGCGGCAGGGAAAATGGACGCCACAGTCAGCCAATATACACCGGTGAGTAAACGAGATCTACGCACTCGCTCCTGAGCACTAGATCATGCTAACTTCCGAGGTTACTTCCGAGCTACCTTCAAAATGATGCAAGTGCTGAGAGCTATACAATTGAAATCCTTTCTCTGTTTTACTCTGAGGAGCAGGAGAAAAACATTCAACAATCCCATCAAATCCGTGTTTGCTTGAGCCATTTGACAAACCAGTCCAAACCAGACCTGCCCTGAAACCGAGACAGAGACAACCAAGCATGCAACAGGAGTTTTCCTTTTGGATGTAGCATATGCTAACGTGCACGTAGTCTTTTCGCTTTGTTTGTTTTTCTTTACACTGTGATGAACTGAACTGAACTGAAAGAACATGAGTCTGGATCTATAAAGTGTCCGTCCTTGGGTCCTGTAGGCCAGTGTTTTTCAACCACTGTGCCGCGGCACACTAGTGTTTCCGTATGATATTGTCTGGTGTGCCGTGAGAAATTTGTCTACTTTGTCTAAAAATAACTGCATTCGCTGTTGACGAGCGGTGACTTGTTTTGAACTGTGGAGTAACCATGTAATACTTTTTCAAATCAGTAGATGGCAGCAGATAGCTAAGTACTTTGAAACTGAAAAATTGGATGCGACCACTGGCTGTAACAGGTCAGCATTGTGGCGAGAAAGGTAAAATTGGATGCGACCAACAAATGAGGGAGGGAGCGAGACAAGAGCTTTGTGGCGAGTGAGAAGTGAAAGTGATAGAGACGTTTTTGAAAATGAATTATGCCGTTTCTGAACAGGATTAACATCCTCCGCTCTGCCCCGGGGCAGCTGTGGCCGCGTTGTAGTGGTTTAACTATGAAATGTACAATTTTTGTACAACAGCTCTCGCGAACGCACTTCTGAACTGGGTACCGAGCGCAGACCATAGTCGAGTGGACAGAACCAGGGACTCGCGTTCAGGACCTCCCGTGTCCCTCATCCAAAACTCCTGAATTTAAAGCTCGGATACCTAAATTTTTTCCCATGCACTAACAATGCATGTTCTTTGTGTGAGTTATTATTTGACTATTTGGGCAGAGAGTGGATTTTCTTAGTTTTTTTCCACACAGTTAGTGCCACTTTATTCCCAAACTCTTGTTATTTGTATCGAGAAATATTAAATAAAGCTTAATGTCAAGGCCTGGACTTAAGCATTTTGATGAGAATAACTGTATATTGTGAATATAGGCTACAGAGTATACTGTATACATTATAAGATAAGATACGATATACTTTATATATCACACAGAGTATGTACAGTATATATATTTTTTTACATTAGTACTGTATACATTTTTACATTTTCTCCTGGAGGTGTGCCGCAAGATTTTTTTAGTGAAAAAAGTGTGCCTTGGCTCAAAAAAGGTTGAAAAACACTGCTGTAGGCCTCCCCCAAGGGTTCTCACTTTTTTTAACCCCCAATCAGCATCAGTGTCGTCAGCTCAAAACCAGGCCATATATATTACAGCCCTGTTTTTTTTTTGCTATCCGCAATTTTAAGTAGTTAAACAATCTCAACAATCACGGTGTCACGGTGGCAGTCAGTGAAATTGCAGAAACTGTCATTCAATAGCTATAAACCGTACTCTTCAATATCAAGGGTGTCAAACCGGTTTCACAAAGGGCCGGTGTGGATGCAGGTTTTAGTTCCAGGCCGTGCAGTAGCGCCAGACTCCACCCATTTCCTCAGGTGAGTCCAGTTTAACCTGAGGATTTGAAGTGGGTGGAGTCTCCTGTGCTCCTGCTCAGGTTGGAACGAAAACCTGCATCCACACGGACTCTTTCTGGAACCGGTTTGACTCTTCAACTCCCCAAAGGATTTAGAATTTTAAAAAATGATCTTGAATTAATACATTTTGGTTCAGTATAAATATAGGGTTTTTTCAGTATTACGGTATATTCATGTGTTCTATGTTTTGTCGCAATTATTATCTTTTTACTAAGACTGTTAAAAGGAGTAGCTCTCTGCCTCTTTAGGTGCATAAAAGTAGCTCTTAAATTGAGAAAGGTTATAGACCCCTGCTGTAGAAGGTCTGTGCATGGGCCCTGACCCCAGTCTCTCTCGGCCTTCTCCAGAAACGTATCTCGTCTTGTGTTGATTGAATTATCTCCGGGACAGAGCAGAAATAAACAGTCTCTTCCTCCTGACGGATTAAAGTGTCGTTTCCAATGGCGTACATCATGTGGCCATAGGTTGAACACAGAGTTCCCTGTGGCTTTTGAAACATCCTCCAAATGGTCTAGATTTCTGGGAAAGCAGCCTGGTTTTCAATGAGTTAAGAAGCTTCATTATTGACAGACAGTGATGGGAATAACAGCGTTACTTTTTTCAGTAACGAGTAATCTAACTTACTATATATATGTTTATCTGATTGGGCTGAAGTCAGTGCTTCACTGGTGTTTCCACATTCACAGTGGAGCATGTTGGTGTTTAGTGCTTACACAGAGAGAGATGGAGAGTGAACAGGACTTCAGCAGAAAAACAGACTTTTCTAGATGGAAATATTGGAACTATTTCAGACTCACTGAGGTTAAAGGTCAACATGCGCACCTCGAGTGCACATTATGTTCCAGAACAAAACGAAAAAGTAACGCAGTAGTTACTTTTACTGGTAACTAGTTACTTTTATAGTGGAGTAACTCCGTTAGTAACTCAGTTACTTTTTGGGAGAAGTAACTAGTAACTATAACTAATTACTTTTTCAAAGTAACGTGCCCAACACTGGAGACAGATAGATATAGATAGATTCTTTATTGATCCCCGCTGGAGAAGCTCAGGAGTCCAGTCACAGCAGAACAAATAAATATATCATTGTAAAAATAGTTAATAATAGTATTAAAATGCAACAACACTTTAGGTCACAGCAGAAGTGGAGCAGCCGCTTGGTTCGGATCATTTTCTTTGCTCTGGTCTAAAGTAAAATTTAGCATTCCTCCAGTGGATATTCACCTGATCCACTTGGTTCGAACCATGAATCCTCTCTGCTCTGGTCTGGACCAGTGTAAAACCATGAATCCCCTCTGCTCTGGTCTGGACCAGTGTAAAACCATGAATCCTCTCTGCTCTGGTCTGGACCAGTGTAAAACCATGAACACTGAACTGCAGCAACATCTCAGGCAGAAAAAAGCATCAAAGATGACAATTGTAAAACACAAAACAGCAGCTGTTTGAGACTCAGGACTTTCTGCAGTTTCCAGAACATTCTAAAGTGTTTTCTGAGTTATAGAAAGACTTTGTGTCTGACAGATTCTGGAGGAAAAGAAGAAGGTTCAGTGTCCAAACTTCTACAGCTCCGACAACCCAGTGAAAGGTACGACTGCTGCAGCTTTGATCCAGTAGGACTCGGTCTAAACTAAACCTCATTTCTCCTTTTCTCCTGGCTCCTCCCCTTTTCTCCTGGTTCCTCCCCTTTTCTCCTGGTTCCTCCTCTTTCCTTCTCCTTCCTCCTGGTTCCTCCTGGTTCCTCCCCTTTCCTCCTCTTTCCTTCTCCTTCCTCCTGGTTCCTCCCCTTTCCTCCTCTTTCCTTCTCCTTCCTCCTGGTTCCTCCCCTTCCCTCCTCTTTCCTTCCCTTTTGTCCCCTTTCGTCCCGGTTCCTCCTCTTTCCTCCCGTTTCTTCCTGGTTCCTCTTTTCTCTCCTTTCCTCTCTCCTCCTGATTTCTCCCGGTTCCTACTGGTTCCTCCTGGTTCCTCCTGGTTCCTCCTCTTTCCTCCTGGCTCCTCCTTGTTCCTCTTCTTTCCTCCTGGTTCCTCCTGGTTCCTCCTGGTTCCTCCTGGTTCCTCCCGGTTCCTCCTGGCTCCTCCTGGTTCCTCCTGGTTCCTCCCGGTTCCTCCTGGCTCCTCCTGGTTCCTCCTGGTTCCTCCTCTAGTCCTGGACGTTCTGTGGCTCCGGACCTTCGTGTTCGCCGTGGTCTACGCTGCTGCAGACGGTTCACCGGAGACTCCTCCTGATCTCGTGGTGGTTTTGCTGCCTGTGAGTTTGTCGTTGTTGTAACAGACCTCGGCAGAGTCTACAACGTTCTGCAAAATGTTGGAAAATACTCAATTCTTTGCTATTTTTCCAGAAAAAGGATGAAAAGGTTGAAACCAAATACCTGAACTTCAGCGACCCGGTGTACGGCAGCTGCACCGAGAGGCAGCTTCACTACTTCCTGACTCAGATAGAAGACTGGTGAGTGTGGACAGAAGTACTACAAGTATTAAAAGTACTACATACAACAGACAGAAGTACTACAAGTGTTAAAAGTACTACATACAACCGACAGAAGTACTAGGACTGAGCGATAAAACGATAAAGGTATAAATCGCAATAGACACGTGTTCGATATCAATAGAAAATGGGGTCGATAGAATGTTTGATAGTTTCACTTTAGTTAGAAAAAAAACAGGAATCCTGGGGGACGTAGGCAGAGGCGTCTCGACCTATCACGGCCGAGCATGAACCGCAAGGCGCATTCTGGGAAATGCAACAAAAAAAGGACAAACTCCAATCAACAAGTGGACCCTGCGTTACGTTCGTGGATCTAAAGTTTTCATGTTTCAATGGCGTGTCGGTGGTGATACACGTCTGTGTGAGGATTAGCATGTGCGGCAGAGACAAACACATGAGGCTATCAGAGAGACGCAACGTGGTCACGGGGACACAAGCGCGCAGCCAGAGACACTGAAAATAATAATCGTGAACATATGCCTCCAGCCGATAACTCGGGCTGGAGGCATATGTTCACAAGCACAGTGTGACTAAATATGCCCTGCTAACATGTGTTAGCCTACACAAAAAATGTATTTATTTAGGTTTTTAAAAAAACAATCAATAATTATTGATTGCCCAGCCCTAATAAGTACTGTAAGTATTAAAAGTATTATTAAAAATACAACTGTTCCTCTTGTTTGCACAGGGAGCTGTTTTTTGCAGCTTCAGCAGCGTCTCTCGAAGTCTGTCCCATCGCTCGACAAGACGACAAGGTAAAAGTCTGTCCTTCTTCACATGAGGCGTGTATCGTATTTTCTGGAATAATCCTGGAATAATCCTTTTTAGAAAGAACCATAAAACGATTTACTATATGAGATATTTACACAAAGATATTATAAGTGAGGACTTTAAAACATTTAATTTGCTGGATTGATATATCTCTGTGAACCACTCTGTGGGTCTACTGTTACTCCAAGCCAAATGGGACGTGTACATTTCTCCAGTGTGGTTTATTTGGACCACTATATGGTCCAAATAAATGATTTGCAAATAATACTATGTGTTTGTTTGTCATGTGTCGTGGGGACATTCATGTTTATACAGAACATTATGTATCATGATTTCTAACTAACCTGATGCCGCATGAACCCTCTTTTATCAGCAGACATGTTGAATTTCACTTTTGTAATGATACAGTTGTTGTTATTATTATTTGATGATGTAGAACTGGGAACTGTGGCTCCTCGAAGACTTCAGTCGAGCGGAGCTTCCTGTGACCGAGACCAACGACGATACTTTTCCTCTGGGTTTAGCCGTGGACTTCACAAACCAACAGGAAATACGCATTTGTGAGTTTTTCTTCAATCCCACGTGTTTTTGTATCGCCCTAAATCACAACAATAGTTATCTCTGAGGACTTTACAAAGCTGCTGATTCATCAACAACAGATCAGAGAATCAAACGGTTCAAAAAGGGCCAGAGACGTTCATAAATATTGATCAATGTTGAGTGTCCTGGACTGGACTGGCTGTAGATCCAGGACTGAGGGTGCAGACCCAGGACTGAGGCTGTAGACCCAGGACTGAGGCTGTAGACCCAGGACTGAGGCTCTAGACCCAGGACTGAGGCTGTAGACCCAGGACTGAGGCTGTAGACCCAGGACTGAGGCTGTAGATCCAGGACTGAGGCTGTAGATCCAGGACTGAGGCTGTAGACCCAGGACTGAGGCTGTAGACCCAGGACTGAGGCTGTAGATCCAGGACTGAGGCTGTAGATCCAGGACTGAGGCTGTAGATCCAGGACTGAGGTCTGTAGATCCAGGACTGAGGCTGTAGATCCAGGACTGAGGCTGTAGATCCAGGACTGAGGTCTGTAGATCCAGGACTGAGGTTGTAGATCCAGGACTGAGGGTGCAGATCCAGGACTGAGGCTGTAGATCCAGGACTGAGGCTGTAGATCCAGGACTGAGACTGTAGACCCAGGACTGAGGCTGTAGACCCAGGACTGAGGCTGTAGACCCAGGACTGAGGCTGTAGACCCAGGACTGAGGCTGTAGACCCAGGACTGAGGCTGTAGACCCAGGACTGAGGCTGTAGATCCAGGACTGAGGCTGTAGATCCAGGACTGAGGCTGTAGACCCAGGACTGAGGCTGTAGATCCAGGACTGAGGCTGTAGATCCAGGACTGAGGCTGTAGATCCAGGACTGAGGCTGTAGATCCAGGACTGAGGCTGTAGATCCAGGACTGAGGCTGTAGATCCAGGACTGAGGCTGTAGATCCAGGACTGAGGTCTGTAGATCCAGGACTGAGGGTGCAGATCCAGGACTGAGGGTGCAGATCCAGGACTGAGGGTGCAGACCCAGGACTGAGGGTGCAGACCCAGGACTGAGGCTGTAGATCCAGGACTGAGGTCTGTAGATCCAGGACTGAGGTCTGTAGATCCAGGACTGAGGTCTGTAGATCCAGGACTGAGGTCTGTAGATCCAGGACTGAGGTCTGTAGATCCAGGACTGAGGTCTGTAGATCCAGGACTGAGGTCTGTAGATCCAGGACTGAGGTCTGTAGACCCAGGACTGAGGTCTGTAGACCCAGGACTGAGGTCTGTAGATCCAGGACTGAGGTCTGTAGATCCAGGACTGAGGTCTGTAGACCCAGGACTGAGGTCTGTAGACCCAGGACTGAGGTCTGTAGACCCAGGACTGAGGTCTGTAGACCCAGGACTGAGGTCTGTAGATCCAGGACTGAGGTCTGTAGATCCAGGACTGAGGTCTGTAGATCCAGGACTGAGGTCTGTAGACCCAGGACCAGTAATTAGAAAATATCTCACTATAATGACATGGTTTACTGCTTTTTAAAGCTTCATTCAGGAATGTTCTGAGAGACAGTTTTAGATTTGTTTTCTTCTTTCACTATAGAGTTAATGTTCATGTTTCTTGTGCTGTGTCCCCCCGCACTCCTACTGTTCTGTAACTGCTGATGCAACACTGACATTTCCCCATCTGTGGAACTAAAGGCTAAACTAGTCACAGGATGTACCCTTTAATGTTGGACCTATAATGACAGTGACGGACCGACACATCTGCCCTGAATCTCCACTCACTGGATCAGAACCAGAACATGTACTGTCTGTGTGTCTCCTGCTGGAGCCTCATCTGCAGTCTGTGTGGAGAGTGTGGAGAATAGTGATGAGTCTGCAGTTTTCTGAAGTGGCTCAGAGCAGACCCAGACTGCTGCTGTCTGGTCACATCCTGCTTCTCACTCAGTCACAAAACAACGACACACATTCGTTGGATTAAACTCGCTTTTATGGTTCGGATCTACAATACTTTACATTTGTGTTCATCTTCTACTTTGCTAAATAACGTGGTTTAGATTTTGTGTTGATTTGCTTGTGCTTTGCATTTTGATTCGTCGAAGTTCTGGAGGAATCATAGACTGTGAACCCTCTTGCTCAGGCGTGTCCAAACTCAGGCCCGGGGACCAATTGCGGCCCTCAGTGTCATTTTATGCGGCCCTCTGCCTCGCTAACCCACAGTAGCCTTTGAGATCATAAAGTTCACTGTGTCATCCATCCAACTTCAGCTCTTTTATAGATCATTTTAAAGCTCAGAACAGTCCGACGCAGTTAAGACAGTTTTTCAGTCTGTGATGTCGGCCCCTGGACTAGTCTGGTGAACTAAAGTGGCCCTCTTACTAAAATGTCTGGACACCCCTGCATTAGATCAATGAAACCCAATAAGGAGGTCATGTCATTTTCTACCCTTTTTATTGATCTATTTCTGGGTCGGGGGCAATCAGAGCTGCCACCACAGGTCTCATGCACCAGTCCCTCGCTGGTCCTCCTGCAGGTGGTGGGTCCACAGGAAGTGTTGGTGTTTCAGCAGGGGCTTCAGGCAAAATGGGGGTAAGAGTCTTGCCCAAGGACACAACGACAGCAGACATCAGTGGGAGCAGGTGACATGGGTCATGGTGGGATGGAACCCACGATCATTGGGTTCAAAGACTAATGTTCTTCCAACTGATCCACTTTTGCCCCAATAAGGAGGTGCTTCTGGGAAATGTTTTGCTCCAACTCTCTCTGGCTCCTCTTCACACTGGTGTTTACATGATATTTTTACAAGATACTGCGAAAACTACTGCAAAAACAAATTGGCCATTTTCCAAAGTCTTTTTTTAAAATTGAATTTCAAAAGAGTCAGTTCACGTAGGAACGAAGTGCTTCTGTCACATTTGTTTTCGCTTCCTACAAAAATGATAATGTAACTGGCGAAAGTGAAATTATATCGATGTCAAAATTCATATATCGAGTTTCAAGAATATCTCAATATATCGTAAATATTGATATATCCTATTTGAACGGCTGGATTCTCTGATCTGTTGTTGGTGAATCGACAGCTTTGTAAAGTCCTCCGAGAGAACTACTGATGTGATCTGATTGGGAGGTCATAAATGCTTTTGTGAAATAACTGTATATTTGTATGTCTGTGGCAGCGGATGAGAAGGTCCTGCCTCCCGCTCCTGTGATGCTGCTGCTGTCCACACACGGACTGCTTTGCCCTTTCGCTCTGCTCAACTTTAACCCCGGGGCAAAGCAGTTGGTGTGTCCTGCCACGCCCTTATCCCTGGAGGGGGAGCGGCCGCCTCAACCTGGTACGATTTTACACACGTCACAGTCCAGCTCTAGTTTGTGACGTCACACCTGAGATCATTCTACATCAGCGGCATTCGAAGGGACGACATGTGTTTGGAAAGATGTATTTTTAGTAGTTATTGTTTTGTGGTGGTTTTTATCTTTGATCTAACTTTGATGTAAAAGTGCAAATCACAGTTTAGACCTGTAGCAATATTTATTTACTACGTACCTGTACATTAGTCCTGCTCTCAGGTCTCTGCTCTGTTTGTTACAAGTCTCTCCATGACCTCAAAGTCCATCTGTGACATGTTAGTGCCATATGAACCAACTCTGAGGAGCACAGGGACTAGACTCCTGCTGGGATTCTGAGGAGCACAGGGACTGGTCTCCTGCTGGTCCCAGAGTCAGGACTAAACATGAGGAGGCAGCGTTTCATATTTATGAAGCTAAAATCTGGAACAGTCTTCCTGAAAATATGAGACCAGCTTCTTCTCTGACAATGTTCAAATCCAGGTTAAAACAGTTCTGCTACAACTGAAGGATTGCGTCTCTCTTTTTAACGCACTGTGATTATTTGTGATTTGTGTGATTCTTTATCTTGCTGTGTTCCTCACTCTGACTTGTGTATGAACTGTGCTATACAATTAAACTTGCCTCTCCTGATGCCGTGTCTCTCTCGCAGGTGCAGCAGTCTCTCTGAAGCCTCCTCCGTACGTGGCTCCACCTCCCGCCGCCACTACCGCCGCTGCTGCACCCTTCACCGCCGCTGCTGCACCCTTCACCGCCGCTGCTGCACCCTTCACCGCCGCTGCTGCACCGTTCAGCGCCGCTCCAGCCTCCTCCTCGGGCTTCACGTTCTCGGTCCCCTCCACCTGCTCCACCTCCGCTCCCTCCGCCTTCTCCCTGGGAACCACCACGGCCTTGTCCGCGGCTCCCAGCTTCTCCTTCGTCTCCAAACCGCCGTCTGAAGCTCCCTCGGCGCCCTCCGCCTTCTCCTTCAGCTCCCCGTCCTCCAAACCGCTGACCACGGCTCCCACCCCCAGCACCGTGGCCACTCCCTCGGCTGTCAAGCTCAATCTCAACGAAAGGTAAGAAGGTTGTTTTGGTTCTTCTGTAAAAGACAATTGTAATAAAGCTTGGGTTTTATACAGCGCTTTTCAGGACACTCAGTCTCTTCACTTTCCATTATTCTCTCACTCCATACACAGTGGTGATGAGCTACTACTGGAGCCACAGCTGCCCTGGGGCCCTAGACTAGACTAGTGAGACTAGACCAGAGAGACTAGACCAGAGACTAGACCAGAGAGACTAGACCAGAGAGACTAGACCAGAGAGACTAGACCAGAGAGACTAGACCAGAGAGACTAGACCGGAAAGACTAGACCGGAGAGACTAGACCGGGGAGACTAGACCGGGGAGACTAGACCGGGGAGACTAGACCGGGGAGACTAGACCGGGGAGACTAGACCGGGGAGACTAGACCGGGGAGACTAGACCGGGGAGACTAGACCGGGGAGACTAGACCGGGGAGACTAGACCGGGGAGACTAGACCGGGGAGACTAGACCGGGGAGACTAGACCGGGGAGACTAGACCGGGGAGACTAGACCGGGGAGACTAGACCGGGGAGACTAGACCGGGGAGACTAGACCGGGGAGACTAGACCGGAGAGACTAGACCGGAGAGACTAGACCGGAGAGACTAGACCGGAGAGCCTAGACCAGCGAGATTTTTGGCTGTACAAAGGTACATGCGTGAGCTTCTTCTTCTGTTGTTTTTCCCACAGATTTTCCTCGTTGGAGACTGCGAATCAGGCGCCGCAGCCGTTTTCCTTCATCTCCTCCGCTCCCAAAACCATCGCCTCCAACAGCTTCATGCCCCCTTCTGTGTCTGTGCCAGCCCCCAAACCCCCCGCGGTGCTGAGTAAGTCTCCAGTCCAGGTTCTGTGTGTCATGTGGCGGATTCTCTGTGTTTTAACGTGGACGTATATCTCAGCCCCAGTGCGCCCGGTCCAGGCCAGCACGCCCGCCGCTGTGGTCCAGAAGCCCACGCCCAGCCCAGCAGCGCCGCCCTCACTGCAAACTCCTCAGGTTGGTTTTAAGATTCAAGTGTTTTATGTCCTGGAGGAAAAGTATGTCGGACTCACAGACTGCTACATTTACAGACACTGAACACGATACAGTGAGATAGATATGAATCCTCACCAGGGCCTTTGTTTTCTCTCTGGTCTCCCTCTCTCAGGTCCCTCTCTCGGGTCCCTCTCTCGGGTCCCTCTCTCTGGTCTTTCTCTCTCTGGTCTCTCTTGGGTCTCTCTCTCTGGTCTCTCTCGGGTTTCTCTCTGGTCTCTCCAGTCTCTCTCTCTGGTGTCTATAGTCTCTCTATAGTGTCTCTCTGGGCTCTCTGTGGTCTCTCACTGGTCTCTCTGGTCTCTATAGTCTCTGTAGTTTCTCTGTGGTCTCTATAGTCTCTCTCTGGGCTCTCTGTGGTCTCTCACTGGTCTCTCTGGTCTCTATAGTCTCTGTAGTCTCTCTATAGTCTCTCTGGGCTCTCTGTGGTCTCTCTATAGTCGATTTCTCACACAAACGCTGACTTTTCCTACTAGCGTGTAACCTGCGATGCAACACTGACATTTCCCATCTGTGAGACGAATACAGAATCATCTCAATTTTATTTATCGAAAACCCATTTTCAGGTTGCAGTGAGCGTGAAGTCCCTGGAAAAGCAAATGCAGCAAAAGAAAGATTCTGACCCCATCATGGCCGGCATCCTGGAGGAGGTGAGTCCCCACACCAGCTTATACCATCAAACCAGCCTTTATAGTACCACATACATATATATTTACATCATTTCATCTTTTTTTTTTTTTTTTTTTAGATTGCCCACTTCCAAAAAGAACTGGACGACCTGAAAGCGAGGAGTGCAAGAGGAGACTTCAAGGTCGGCACCAACGACGAGATGAAAGAGCTGAGGAAGGAGTCGGAGAACATGCACGTGTTTACTCTGGAGATCAAGGAGACCACAGAAGTAAGACCAGCATCCTGTACCATCAACTTTATTTGGTCCGGGGTGGATTGTAGGTCTATGGTCCAAGGTGGATTGTAGGTCTATGGTCCAAGGTGGATTGTAGGTCTATGGTCCAAGGTGGATTGTAGGTCTATGGTCCAAGGTGGATTGTAGGTCTATGGTCCGGGGTGGATTGTAGGTCTATGGTCCGGGGTGGATTGTATGTCTATGGTCCAAGGTGGATTGTAGGTCTATGGTCCAAGGTGGATTGTAGGTCTATGGTCCAAGGTGGATTGTAGGTCTATGGTCCAAGGTGGATTGTAGGTCTATGGTCCGCGGTGGATTGTAGGTCTATGGTCCGGGGTGGATTGTATGTCTATGGTCAAGGGTGGATTGTAGGTCTATGGTCCAAGGTGGATTTGTAGGTCTATGGTCCAAGGTGGATTGTAGGTCTATGGTCCAAGGTGGATTGTAGGTCTATGGTCCAAGGTGGATTGTAGGTCTATGGTCCAAGGTGGATTGTAGGTCTATGGTCCAGGGTGGATTGTATGTCTATGGTCCAGGGTGGATTGTAGGTCTATGGTCCAAGGTGGATTGTAGGTCTATGGTCCAAGGTGGATTGTAGGTCTATGGTCCGGGGTGGATTGTAGGTCTATGGTCCGGGATGGATTGTAGGTCTATGGTCCGGGATGGATTGTAGGTCTATGGTCCGGGATGGATTGTAGGTCTATGGTCCGGGATGGATTGTAGGTCTATGGTCCGGGTGGATTGTAGGTCTATGGTCCGGGTGGATTGTAGGCTATGGTCCAGGGTGGATTGTAGGTCTATGGTCCAAGGTGGATTGTAGGTCTATGGTCCGGGGTGGATTGTAGGTCTATGGTCCGGGATGGATTGTAGGTCTATGGTCCGGGATGGATTATAGGTCTATGGTCCGGGATGGATTGTAGGTCTATGGTCCGGGATGGATTGTAGGTCTATGGTCCGGGATGGATCGTAGGTCTATGGTCCGGGGTGGATTGTAGGTCTATGGTCTGGGTTAGATTGCAGGTCTGTGGTCCAAGGTGGATTGTAGGTCTATGGTCCAAGGTGGATTGTAGGTCTATGGTCCAAGGTGGATTGTAGGTCTATGGTCCGGGGTGGATTGTAGGTCTATGGTCCGGGATGGATTGTAGGTCTATGGTCCGGGATGGATTATAGGTCTATGGTCCGGGATGGATTGTAGGTCTATGGTCCGGGATGGATTGTAGGTCTATGGTCCGGGATGGATCGTAGGTCTATGGTCCGGGATGGATCGTAGGTCTATGGTCCAAGGTGGATCGTAGGTCTATGGTCCGGGGTGGATTGTAGGTCTATGGTCCGGGATGGATTGTAGGTCTATGGTCCGGGATGGATTGTAGGTCTATGGTCCGGGATGGATTGTAGGTCTATGGTCCGGGATGGATTGTAGGTCTATGGTCCGGGATGGATCGTAGGTCTATGGTCCGGGATGGATCGTAGGTCTATGGTCCGGGGTGGATTGTAGGTCTATGGTCCGGGGTGGATTGTAGGTCTATGGTCTGGGTTAGATTGCAGGTCTGTGGTCCAAGGTGGATTGTATGCCTGTGGTCCAAGGTGGATTGTAGGTCTATGGTCCAAGGTGGATTGTAGGTCTATGGTCCGGGGTGGATCGTAGGTCTATGGTCCGGGGTGGATTGTAGGTCTATGGTCCAAGGTGGATTGTAGGTCTATGGTCCAAGGTGGATTGTAGGTCTATGGTCCGGGGTGGATTGCAGGTCTATGGTCCGGGGTGGATTGTAGGTCTATGGTCCAAGGTGGATTGTAGGTCTATGGTCCGGGGTGGATTGTAGGTCTATGGTCCGGGGTGGATTGTAGGTCTATGGTCCGGGGTGGATTGCAGGTCTATGGTCCGGGGTGGATTGTAGGTCTATGGTCCGGGGTGGATTGTAGGTGAATGGTCCGGGGTGGATTGTAGGTCTATGGTCCGGGGTGGATTGTAGGTCTATGGTCCGGGGTGGATTGTAGGTCTATGGTCCGGGGTGGATTGTAGGTCTATGGTCCGGGGTGGATTGCAGGTCTATGGTCCGGGGTGGATTGTAGGTCTATGGTCCGGGGTGGATTGTAGGTCTATGGTCCGGGGTGGATTGCAGGTCTATGGTCCGGGGTGGATTGCAGGTCTAGCCATTTCTCAAACCCGCTCCTAATCGCTCTTTTTTTCTTTCTCTTCAGTCGCTGCACGGTGACATCGGGATGCTGAAGACCACTCTGCTGGAGGGATTCGCCGGAGCAGAAGAAGCCAAAGCCCAGAGTGAACTGAGCAAAGACCGAAACTACAGACACCTCCTGTACAAGCGGCCGCTGGACCCGCGCAGTGACGAGCAGCTCAAGGTTTGTGACTGGAACTAGTACCATGTGTGTTTACGACATGTGGTTTTAACGTGCTTTATGGTTCTGTCGTCAAGGAGATCCGCCGGCTGTACCAGTACGTCATGTTCGCCGTCGAAGATGTCAACGACGTTTTGGATGTCGAGTGGGAGAAGCATCTAGAAAAGAAGAAAAAGCAAAAGTTAGTACAGTGAGAGGCCGGAGGGAGAGAGGCCGGAGAGAGAGAGAGGCCGGAGAGAGAGAGGCCGGAGAGAGAGAGGCCGGAGGGAGAGAGGCCGGAGGGAGAGAGGCCGGAGGGAGAGAGGCCGGAGAGAGAGAGGCCGGAGGGGGAGAGGCCGGAGAGAGAGAGGCCGGAGAGAGAGAGGCCGGAGAGAGAGAGGCCGGAGAGAGAGAGGCCGGAGAGAGAGAGGCCGGAGAGAGAGAGGCCGGAGAGAGAGAGGCCGGAGAGGGAGAGGCCGGAGAGGGAGAGGCCGGAGGGGGAGAGAAAGAGGCCGGAGGGGGAGAGAGAGAGGCCGGAGGGGGAGAGAGAGAGGCCGGAGGGGGAGAGAGAGAGGCCGGAGGGGGAGAGAGAGAGGCCGGAGGGGGAAAGAGAGAGGCCGGAGGGGGAGAGAGAGAGGCCGGAGGGGGAGAGAGAGGCCGGGAGGGGGAGAGAGAGAGGAGAGGCCGGAGGGGGAGAGAGAGAGGCCGGAGGGGGAGAGAGAGAGAGGCGGAGGGGGAGAGAGAGAGGCCGGAGGGGGAGAGAGAGAGGCCGGAGGGGGAGAGAGAGAGGCCGGAGGGGGAGAGAGAGAGGCCGGAGGGGGAGAGAGAGAGGCCGGAGGGGGAGAGAGAGAGGCCGGAGGGGAGAGAGAGAGGCCGGAGGGGGAGAGAGAGAGGCCGGAGGGGGAGAGAGAGGCCGGAGGGGGAGAGAGAGAGGCCGGAGGGGGAGAGAGAGAGGCCGGAGGGGGAGAGGCCGGAGAGGGAGAGGCCGGAGGGGGAGAGGCCGGAGGGGGAGAGGCCGGAGGGGAGAGGCCGGAGAGGGAGAGGCCGGAGAGGGAGAGGCCGGAGAGAGAGAGAGGCCGGAGAGAGAGAGGCCGGAGAGAGAGAGGCCGGAGAGAGAGAGGCCGGAGAGGGAGAGGCCGGAGAGGGAGAGGCCGGAGAGGGAGAGGCCGGAGGGGGAGAGAAAGAGGCCGGAGGGGGAGAGAGAGAGGCCGGAGGGGGAGAGAGAGAGGCCGGAGGGGGAGAGAGAGAGGCCGGAGGGGGAGAGAGAGAGGCCGGAGGGGGAAAGAGAGAGGCCGGAGGGGGAGAGAGAGAGGCCGGAGGGGGAGAGAGAGAGGCCGGAGGGGGAGAGAGAGAGGGCCGGAGGGGGAGAGAGAGAGGCCGGAGGGGGAGAGAGAGAGAGCCGGAGGGGGAGAGAGAGAGGCCGGAGGGGGAGAGAGAGAGGCCGGAGGGGGAGAGAGAGAGAGGCCGGAGGGGGAGAGAGAGAGGCCGGAGGGGGAGAGAGAGAGGCCGGAGGGGGAGAGAGAGAGGCCGGAGGGGGAGAGAGAGAGGCCGGAGGGGGAGAGAGAGAGGCCGGAGGGGGAGAGAGAGAGGCCGGAGAGGGAGAGGCCGGAGAGGGAGAGGCCGGAGGGGGAGAGGCCGGAGGGGGAGAGGCCGGAGGGGGAGAGGCCGGAGGGGGAGAGGCCGGAGGGGGAGAGGCCGGAGGGGGAGAGGCCGGAGGGGGAGAGACCGGAGGGGGAGAGAGAGAGGCCGGAGAGGCCGGAGGGGGAGAGGCCGGAGGGGGAGAGGCCGGAGGGGGAGAGAGAGAGGCCGGAGGGGGAGAGAGAGAGGCCGGAGAGGGAGAGGCCGGAGAGGGAGAGGCCGGAGGGGGAGAGGCCGGAGGGGGAGAGGCCGGAGGGGAGAGGCCGGAGGGGAGAGGCCGGAGGGGAGAGGCCGGAGAGGGAGAGGCCGGAGAGGGAGAGGCCGGAGAGGGAGAGGCCGGAGAGGGAGAGGCCGGAGAGGGAGAGGCCGGAGAGGCCGGAGAGGGAGAGCCGGAGAGGGATAGGCCGGAGAGGGATAGGCCGGAGAGGGATAGGCCGGAGGGGGAGAGAGAGAGGCCGGAGGGGGAGAGAGAGAGGCCGGAGGGGGAGAGAGAGAGGCCGGAGGGGGAGAGAGAGAGGCCGGAGGGGGAGAGAGAGAGGCCGGAGGGGGAGAGAGAGAGGCCCGGAGGGGAGAGAGAGGCCGGAGGGGGAGAGAGAGCCCGGAGGGGGAGAGAGAGAGACCGGAGGGGGAGAGAGAGAGGCCGGAGGGGGAGAGAGAGAGGCCGGAGGGGGAGAGAGAGAGGCCGGAGGGGGAGAGAGAGAGGCCGGAGGGGAGAGAGAGAGGCCGGAGGGGGAGAGAGAGAGGCCGGAGGGGGAGAGAGAGGCCGGAGGGGGAGAGAGAGAGGCCGGAGGGGGAGAGAGAGAGGCCGGAGAGGGAGAGGCCGGAGGGGGAGAGGCCGGAGGGGGAGAGGCCGGAGGGGGAGAGGCCGGAGAGGGAGAGGCCGGAGAGGGAGAGGCCGGAGAGGGAGAGGCCGGAGAGGGAGAGGCCGGAGAGGGAGAGGCCGGAGAGGGAGAGGCCAGAGAGACATAGGCCGGAGAGGTAGAGGGAGAGGCCGGAGAGGGATAGGCCGGAGAGGGAGAGGCCGGAGAGGGATAGGCCGGAGAGGGATAGGCCGGAGAGGGATAGGCCGGAGGGGAGAGAGAGAGGCCGGAGGGGAGAGAGAGAGGCCGGAGGGGGAGAGAGAGAGGCCGGAGAGGCCGGAGGGGGAGAGAGAGAGGCCGGAGGGGGAGAGAGAGAGGCCGGAGGGGAGAGAGAGAGGCCGGAGGGGGAGAGAGAGAGGCCGAGGGGGAGAGAGAGAGGCCGGAGGGGAGAGAGAGAGGCCGGAGGGGGAGAGAGAGAGGCCGGAGGGGGAGAGAGAGAGGCCGGAGGGGGAGAGAGAGAGAGGCCGGAGGGGGAGAGAGAGAGAGCCGGAGGGGAGAGAGAGAGAGCCGGAGGGGGAGAGAGAGAGAGAGGCCGGAGGGGGAGAGAGGCCGGAGAGGCCGGAGGGGGAGAGAGAGAGGCCGGAGGGGGAGAGAGAGAGGCCGGAGGGGGAGAGAGAGAGCCGGAGGGGGAGAGAGAGAGGCCGGGGGGAGAGAGAGAGGCCGGAGGGGGAGAGAGAGAGGCCGGAGGGGAGAGAGAGAGAGGCCGGAGGGGGAGAGAGAGAGGCCGGAGGGGGAGAGAGAGAGGCCGGAGGGGGAGAGAGAGAGGCCGGAGGGGGAGAGAGAGAGAGGCCGGAGGGGGGAGAGAGAGAGAGGCCGGAGGGGGAGAGGCCGGAGGGGGAGAGAGAGAGGCCGGAGGGGGAGAGAGAGAGGCCGGAGGGGGAGAGAGAGAGGCTGGAGGGGAGAGAGAGAGGCTGGAGGGGGAGAGAGAGAGGCCGGAGGGGGAGAGGCCGGAGAGGGAGAGGCCGGAGGGGGAGAGAGAGAGGCCGGAGGGGGAGAGAGAGAGGCCGGAGGGGGAGGGAGAGAGGCCGGAGGGAGAGAGGCCGGAGGGAGAGAGGCCGGAGGGAGAGAGGCTGGAGAGGGAGGGAGAGAGGCCGGAGGGAGAGAGAGGCCGGAGGGAGAGAGGCCGGAGGGAGAGAGGCCGGAGGAGAGAGGCCGGAGGGGGAGAGAGAGAGAGGCCGGAGGGGGGAGAGAGAGGCCGGAGGGGGAGAGAGAGAGGCCGGAGGGGAGAGAGAGAGGCCGGAGAGGGAGAGAGAGAGGCCGGAGGGGGAGAGGCCGGAGGGGAGAGAGAGAGGCCGGAGGGGAGAGAGAGAAGCCGGAGGGGGAGAGAGAGAGAGCCGGAGGGGGAGAGAGAGAGAGGCCGGAGGGGGAGAGAGAGAGAGGCCGGAGGGGGAGAGAGAGAGAGGCCGGAGGGGGAGAGAGAGAGAGGCCGGAGAGGGAGAGGCCGGAGAGGGAGAGGCCGGAGGGGGAGAGAGAGAGGCCGGAGGGGGGGAGAGAGAGAGGCCGGAGGGGGGGAGGGAGAGGGCCGGAGAGGGAGAGGCCGGAGAGGGAGAGGCCGGAGAGGGAGAGGCCGGAGAGGGAGAGGCCGGAGAGGGAGAGGCCGGAGAGGGAGAGGCCGGAGGGGGAGAGAGAGGCTGGAGGGGGAGAGAGAGAGGCCGGAGAGGGAGAGGCCGGAGAGGGAGAGGCCGGAGGGGGAGAGAGAGAGGCCGGAGGGGGAGAGAGGCCGGAGGGGAGAGAGAGGCCGGAGAGAGAGAGGCCGGAGGGGAGAGAGAGGCCGGAGAGGGAGAGGCCGGAGGGGGAGAGGCCGGAGGGGGAGAGAGAGAGGCCGGAGGGGGAGAGAGAGAGAGGCCGGAGAGGGAGAGGCCGGAGGGGGAGAGAGAGAGAGGCCGGAGGGGGGGAGAGAGAGGGCCGGAGGGGGGAGAGAGAGAGAGGCCGGAGAGGGAGAGGCGGAGAGGGAGAGGCCGGAGAGGGAGAGGCCGGAGAGGGAGAGGCCGGAGGGGGGAGAGGCCGGAGAGGGAGAGCCGGAGGGGGAGAGAGAGAGGCCGGAGAGAGAGAGGCCGGAGGGGAGAGAGAGGCCGGAGAGGAGAGGCCGGAGAGGGAGAGGCCGGAGGGGGAGAGGCCGGAGGGGGAGAGAGAGAGGCCGGAGGGGAGAGAGAGAGAGGCCGGAGGGGGAGAGAGAGAGGCCGGAGGGGGAGAGAGAGGCCGGAGGGGGAGAGAGAGAGGCCGGAGGGGGAGAGGCCGGAAGGGGAGAGGCCGGAGAGAGAGAGGCCGGAGAGAGAGAGGCCGGAGAGAGAGAGGCCGGAGAGAGAGAGGCCGGAGAGAGAGAGGCCGGAGAGAGAGAGGCCGGAGAGAGAGAGGCCGGAGAGAGAGAGAGAGAGGCCGGAGGGGGAGAGGCCGGAGGGGGAGAGGCCGGAGGGGGAGAGGCCGGAGAGAGAGAGGCCGGAGAGAGAGAGGCCGGAGGGGGAGAGGCCGGAGGGGGAGAGGCCGGAGAGAGAGAGGCCGGAGAGAGAGAGGCCGGAGAGGGAGAGGCCGGAGAGGGAGAGGCCGGAGAGGGAGAGGCCGGAGAGGGAGAGGCCGGAGAGGGAGAGGCCGGAGAGGGAGAGGCCGGAGGGGGAGAGGCCGGAGGGGGAGAGAGAGAGGCCGGAGGGGAGAGAGAGAGGCCGGAGAGGGAGAGGCCGGAGGGGGAGAGAGAGAGACCGGAGGGGGAGAGGCCGGAGGGGGAGAGAGAGAGGCCGGAGAGGGAGAGGGAGAGGCCCAGAGAGGGACCCAACTAAATATAGAACATTTTATAAAATTACCCCAGTGGCCTAAATAGAAATGCTTCCAAAGAACTAGAAAAAAGTAGCTGTTGGAAATAACTATAAAAATGTGTCATACTGTATTACATTATATAATGTCATGCATCTTTCTGCCCTGCAGACATATGGTCGTACCCGGTCGAGAAAGCCTGTTCACTACACTCTCCAACAACCAGTACATAATAAACCAGCAGACGAACAGACTGAACCAGCTGATCAAAGACCTGACTTCACTGCATCTCTACAAGTGTCATTCTGTCACCAGCAACTCATCGCCCACAACCATCAGGTGAGTGTCGAGACGGCAGCCTCACTCACGATCTCTTCTGCGTATGCTAGCAGCCTGGCTTTTCTTCTGCGTATGTTAGCAGCCTCACGTCTCTTCTGCGTATGCTATCAGCCTGACTGTTTCTTCTGCGTATGCTAGCGGCCTCACGTCTCTTCTGCGTATGCTATCAGCCTGACTGTTTCTTCTGCGTATGCTAGCAGCCTCACGTCTCTTCTGCGTATGCTATCAGCCTGACTGTCTCTTCTGCGTATGCTAGCAGCCTCACTCACCCTCTCTTCTGTTGCAGTACGGATGGAGACATAGAACATTTAAGGGATGCACTTTTCAAAGCTAAACTGGAAAGCTCTCCAGAAGGAACTCCCAAATCTCCAGGTATTCATTAAGTGTGTTCTCAAAGTAAAACCTCACGTCTGAATAGTAGATGTATATAAAAGCCGGATGTATGTCTTTTGTAGCCCCCAAGATCTCACCTGTGAAACAGTCTCAGCTGCGGAACTTTCTCTCAAAGGGTCAGATGCCGCCGGTCCGCTCCACTGCACCAGGTAGATCCAAGACCAGCAACACTAAGAGAATACGACAACTCCCAGAGCCGTCATACTGACTGCTCCCTTTCAGGTCAATGCAGTGCACATCCAGCAGCCATAATAATCTTTGAACTCTTCTCCTCTCTTCAGTCAACCTCTCGCGCTCCGCCTTCCTCTCGCCACAATACTACGAAGACCTGGACGATGTGAGCTCTACGTCCTCTTTGTCCCAGTCCTTGGATCCAAACCCTCAAGTCCTGGAGCTGGAGGAGGAGGAAGAGGAGGAGGAGCTCCAGGCCTCTCTCCTCCCTCTGCCCCCCACACTGTCCACCCCTCGCCACCCCACCGTGGTCCGGACTCCTTCCATCCAGCCGGGCTTCGGAGTGGCTGTGTCCACACCCTTCGCCAAACTGTCCTCCATGGGCTTTGGACTCAGCCCGATTCCAAGTCCTGGTAATTACCACATCATGATACCATGATAACATTATAACATTATAACATTATAACATTATACATTATATATAACATTAAAACATGGCACAAACAGTTTTTGATGACGGAGCCTTTTGTTTTCAGTCCCCAGTAACAAGATAAACCTGAGTGGAGCGGACAGCACCGCTCTGGCCACAAAGACGGTCAAACACCTCCCTGTGGAGAGGACTCCTGTGGAGAGGACTCCTGTGGAGAGGACTCCGGTGGAGAGGACTCCTGTGGAGAGGACTCCTGTGGAGAGGACTCCGGTGGAGAGGACTCCTGTGGAGAGGACTCCTGTGGAGAGGACTCCGGTGGAGAGGACTCCGGTGGAGAGGACTCCGGTGGAGAGGACTCCGGTGGAGAGGACTCCGGTGGAGAGGACTCCGGTGGAGAGGACTCCGGTGCCCATCTCTGCGCAGCAGGCGGCTGCGTCTGCGGCTCTGCGCAGACAGATGGCTATTCAGAAACCAGGTCTGTGTTTGGATGTTAGGGCTGGGAAGTGGCAAAAGTGTGACGATTCGATACTATATAGTCCCTCATAGTATTCAAAGTTATTACAAACATGGAGGAAAATTAAACTCAACTCAAATATGACATTTGTTATTGTCTGCACATGAACTGAAGCAAACACTGAGGAGGGAACTGTGGCTGTAACACACAAATGTAAATGACCAGACAAAATACTGATGTGAAACTGATAATTATTTGATCAAATATTGCAGTACTTTGCTCTTCTGTGTCTATTTAATTGCGTTCGCAAATTATTGTGATACTGAACCCACCACGACTTGGAACACGATAGAATTAGAACAAACCAGTTCTGGTTGGACTGAAGACCTGCTCATTGGTCAGAATTAATCTTATTGTAAGTAACAGGAAGTCACAAACGAGGAAATAGTTTTGGTAAATGGTGCAGGAGATAATAAAATAGTAAAAGCATAATAATATAATTCTAATTTTAAATTCTGTAGACCTGTACAGCTGCACTTGTACTTCTATTCACTAGAGGGCGACAAAGAGTCTCAGGCCTGCAAAACCTGAGGCTGACTTCAGAACCACCTCCAAAACCTGAAGTTTTGCTGAAATTCAACGTCTACTAAATGATTGGTATCTCGGCCTCTGGAGCAGATAAACATAATTTCAAAAGAATTTGAGAGCGGACACTTGTGGCTTTGAATAAGAATGCAGTGTATTATTATAAAACTTCAGTAGAAGAATATACAACTTCCACACAGGAAAGGTAATAAAACAACCAAAAACAATGTGAGACTAACACATGTTTATCAATGCAATAAGTCAAAAAGAGTTTGGCACTAACTATGTAGAGAAAAGATATAAAAAAATCCACTCTCAGCCCAAAAAGTCAAATAATGACTCACAAGGCTCTTTCTAAAGTAAGCAAAATAAACAAAACATGACTGTTTTGGTTTGTTCTGTTTGATTTGGTCACATTTTATTTTTTGCCCAAAAAACATGCATTATCAATGCAAGCGAGAATGTAGGTAGCTGAGCTTTATTTTTCAGTGAGTCTGCGCTTCGTCAGGAGACTTCGGGGAGACGGGGGAGAGACAGGGGGGAGAGACATGGGGGAGAGACATGGGGGAGAGACATGGGGGAGAGACATGGGGGAGAGAGACATGGGGTTAACCTGTTCATTTTTATTTCATTTTCATTTCTTTAATGTCTTGAATAAATGTTTGTTTTGCTGTAGTTGCCAACAGTGCGTCACTGACAGAATCTACTCTGAAGACTGTTCCTCAAGTTGTAAATGTCCAAGAACTGAAAGAAAAAGTCGTTTCGTCTGTCGCAGGGTAAGAACTGTGAAGATGATGATGATGAAGACCAGGTCTGAGAGATTAGACTCTTTTCTGTTTCTTCCACTTTATCTTTTGCTTTCTCTTCTCTCTCTCCCCTCCTCTCTCTCCCCCTCTCTCTCTCACTCTCCCTCTCTTTCCCCCCTCATCCCTTCTCTCTCTCTCTCTCTCTCTCACTCTCTCTAAAAACTAATTTTTTTACAGTGTTTGTAAAAATGCTGACCTTACATTTCTCTTGTTTTCTTCTGAATGTTTTCAGTCCATCAGCCTCAAATCCAGCGGCTTCAGGGATTCTGCCGCTTTTACCGTCTGTGCCGTCGAATCTGGTGAAGCGAGTGAGTACCGTCTGTTATCACCGATTATTCCAGGAACAGTTTTCTTTAGAACGATTAACAATAAAAACAGATTCTTCATTAAGTGAGTTCCTTTAAATCCAGCACTAACAAAGGTGGATTTATCCTTAGTTTGGGAAGAAGAATATATGATTGAAACTGATTACAACGTTAAGGCTTTCAACTTTCTGGGACACAATTAACTTTGATAATTGTCTGCAGTCCTAGAAATGTGAGTATGTAAAGGAGCAGATATGTTTTTAGTTTTGAAAAGACCATGAGGAAGTGAGAGATAAAGAATGGAGGTTTGCTGAATTACATTTATGTATGTTTTGAAATTCGTTCATTTTGGGGGTTTTTTTAGTTTGATTTGTGTTTATGTTTTTGTCTGTTTTTTCGTTGTTGTTGTCCCCTAATAATAATAATAATATGTGTAAAACTCAAGCCCCGCTGATCCAAGATGGCGTCCTGTTCAAATGAATGGCTTGTGCTCAGTAGTGCATGGGACTTCACGGAGACCGGGAGATTAGCAGAACTCGCCTGTATTTGGGCATCGTCTGGTCCTCCCGGTTCTGCGCAGTGGATGATCTCCCATGGTGCTTTGCGCGTCTGGCTCTCATGCACGTGCACAGTCGCTCCGCCGCGCTCTGACCAATCAGAGCTGCAGATCAGAGCAGTGGTAGAACGGAGTCAAAGCGGGAAGGAAAGGAGCAGAGTTTGTGGCAGTAAAGTGTGGATTTAAAGAAAACCGAAGGATTTAAGAAGAAAAAAAGTTCAGGATGACAAGGGACACTAAAATCCCCACAAAATCCGACCTTTATGAAAGCTGTAGGTTCTCTGTCAGGTTCTCTGTCAGCTGAGGTTGAGCTGTTTTAGTTTACATTGAGTTCTATGGGACTTTTTTCTGGGTAGCCCACGTGAAATTAGTCTGGTTTAGTCTGCAGTACCACAGCGCCCCCTGTGGCCATGGGTGGGACAGCTATAAGCTAGTAATACCCTATCCAGTTATTATTATAGCTCCATGGTAAAACTTCCACCTTTGTTATTGTTCTTGTTCAGGTTCCTTCACAAGTCGCCCAGAAGGTCCCCACGGAAACCACGACCAGCTCCGGTTTTGTCTTCGGTGAGCAGCGGATTAAATTTAAAGTGACTTCTTCTACAGTTCCTTGTGAGTAAAGCTTGTCTGAATTCTGTCTGTTTTTTCCCAGGGATGTCGTCCGTGACTTCTGCGCCAGAACAGAACAGCAGCAAAGGATTCTCCTTCGCTCCATCGTGAGTCGACTAACGTGTTTTTGTCGCTGTTCAAATCTGCAACATAAAGTTCAAAGGTTTATGACAAAAGAAGTCTGACCTTTTGGTTTAATAACTATTGTATGTACCCACAAACCTAAAGTGTATTTGTATGTCTGGGTTTTATGGTGTTAACAAAGGGATATTTTGACGGGAAAATCCTCAATGTTAAATTGCCCAAAACCAGATTTGTAACATTCAGGTTCAGTTTATTTTCCATTTGCAGTAAAACCACATTTGAATACTTGTGCAAAAGTACATGCATAAAACAAGCTAAAAAAGTTCAAGAAACAATTTTTGATGTGTTTAAATGGTTTTTGTTGATCAATTTCACAACTGTATGTATTCTTGGGTTTAATTAATCTGGCCAGTAGGGGGCGCATGAGCAGAGGTTTCAGTTTTGGTCCCATTGAAAACCATGTAAAGTCTGTTTTGGAGTCAAAGGCTCTCCTCCTCCAGAACAGACAGCTGTATGAAGTGCTGATTAATAACAAATTTAAACACTGGGCGGCAGTGGTTAGCACAAGGAGGTCCTGGGTTCGAATCCCGGTTGAAACGGGGCCTTTCTGAGTGGAGTTTGCATGTTCTCCCCGTGTCTGCGTAGGTTTCCTCCGGGTACACTGGTTCCCCCTACTACTAAAACAATGTACAATAGGTCTGTGCCTCCTGTACTGGCCCCGCTCCATCTCTGTGTGGACTGAGAGACTAATGCCCACAGTTGTAAACCGCTTTGACTCTGGTCTGTGAAAGGCGCTATATAAATAAATATTACCAACTACTATTTCTGCTTTTGCTCTTTCCCAGATCCACATCCTTCAGTTTCACATCAGTCGCACAGGGAGCTGGAAACTCACAAGGTAAACCAGTCATGTAGAAAAGTTTCTTACATTGAAGACCAAAGAATGAGGATTAGTCTCTCAGCAGCAGGTGGGGTCTGCTCCCAGTCCCCAGTTTTTATAGTAACATAACATAACAGAGGCTACTCCACCTCTGCTGCTGTGACCCGAAGGGCGAATACTGATTATTACTATTGTTAGCTTTTTAGAATAAGCTATTCTGTATTTCTTCAATGGGGATAAATAGATTATATATCTATGAAAATTACTCTTTTAAAGTCAAGATTTTTAACTGCTTGTTTAACTCATGATCTAACCCTAACCCTTTTCACCAAAAAAAAAATCATATTTTAACTTATATGATCACTTTTAGCTTGTTGCTGCTTTAGCTTCCACAATCAGGAATGTTTGCTCCGTAGAATCTTCCATTGTATTTATTGTTTTTTTTCTCTTGTTATTTTATTTCAGCCAAAGATTCTTCCAGCAAATTCTCCTTCGGAAGCAGCAAATCTGTTTTTGCCCAGACGTCAGAGGAGCCGTTCTCCCTCACCCCCAAGTCCACGTCTCCCGCCTTCGGTAGCTCCCCCGCTCCGGCTCCAAGCGAAGAGAAGCCCAAACAGTCCTCGTCCTCGCTGTCGGCGCTGCTCTCAGACCCAGCGCCGCCCAGGACCACCTCCGGAGACACTCTGGGAGTCTTCACAGATATCCGTTTAGGCAAAGGAGAAGCTATGGACGCCATGAATAAACCTGTCTTTGGGTTTGCCGATGCAGGACTGGACGCAGGGAAGGGTACCGCGGCGTTTAGCTTCGGCACGGTCATCCAGAAACCAAGTGAGGAGACACTCGGAGCCGAGACCTCAAAGGACAGTCCGTTCAAGCCGCCAGACTCATCCACCTCCTCCAAACCGGCTTTCTCTGTCTCCGTCGAGCCATCGCAAACCTCGTTCATCGGCCTGGTCTCCACACCTCCTCCTTCCACAGAGTCCGCAGAGGTCACTAAAGCCGCCGCCGTTTCCGAGGCCTCGCAAATTGCTAAGAAACTAGCAGAGGTGAACGTAGGGCAAGAGCAAACTGAGGCAGAACCAGAGGCGAGAGAGACCCAGGAGTCTGCACCCGACCCTCCTCCAGTCCCAGACAATGCAGCTCAGAGTTCTTCGCCTCCTACTGTGGCGGAGACTCTGCAAATGCCTGCCTTCCCTGGTCCAGAGGCTACTGCTAACCCTGCTAATGCTAATGCTAATGGTAATGCTGCTAACGCTAATGCTGCTGCTTCGGTGCCTCCTCCATTCCCTGCTTCAGTACCTCCAGCACAAACCCCACCACCGCAGGCACCGAGCTCAGAGCCGCCTGGGTCAATCTTCGCCCAGCCTTCTCTTGCCACCACAGACGGCTCCACGGTCGTAGCGTCACCCGCCATCAACACCGTCGCTCCCACAGACACCACCACCACCACCGTGACTGCCGCAAACCCCGCCGCCACCACCGCCACCCCTGCCTCTGTGTTCGGCCAGCCCGCGTCCGCAGCCACACCCGCCCCTGTGCCCACGACCGCACCGCAGCCCACGGCCCAGCCCACTGCCTTCACCTCCGCTGGGTTTGGGAGTCAGGGAGCAGCGCCTGGATTTGGGAACCCGGTGTTTGGCCAGGTGAGCGGCTTCGGTCAGCCCGCCAGCAGCCCCGGAGCGCCCTCTGCTGGTGGCTTCTCCTTCGGCCAGACGTCGTTCGGAGCGAGTCCCAACACGAGCGCCGGAGGTGGAGGTGGTGGCCTGTTCGGAGCGTCCACAGCGAGCAATGCCAGCTCCTTCTCCTTCAGCTCGACCGCCGCCAACCCTCCCAGCGGCGCCAACACGGCCAGCAGCAGCACGGGCGCCGGGCTCTTCGGGCAGAGCGCAGCGGCGGCTCCGGTCTTCGGGCAAAGCTCAGGGTTTGGACAGGCCTCTGTGTTCGGAAGCAACACCACCACCTCCTCCTCGGCAGGATTCAGCTTTGCACAACCAACAGGTACACAAACGCATTACACATAAATATCAGTTCTTCCCAACTTTTCTGACAGTCATTTTCAGTGAATTATATAAAAAAATAAAACAAGCACAATACAGTTTGTTTTGACCAATTAATTCAAAATCAAAACAATTTGTTGGTATCATCTCTAGGGGCCATCCCAGAACAGTCATTTCCCAACGTCAGACCAAGGACTAGTCCAGGGTTTCAGACCAGGGACTAGTCCTCAGGTCCAGGGAGTCCAGGGTTTCAGACCAGGGACTAGTCCAGGGAGTCCAGGGTTTCAGACCGTGGACTAGTCCTCAGGTCCAGGGAGTCCAGGGTTTCAGACCGGGGACTAGTCCTCAGGTCCAGGGAGTCCAGGGTTTCAGACCGGGGACTAGTCCCCAGGTCCAGGGAGTCCAGGGTTTCAGACCAGGGACTAGTCCCCAGGTCCAGGGAGTCCAGGGTTTCAGACCGTGGACTAGTCCTCAGGTCCAGGGAGTCCAGGGTTTCAGACCGGGGACTAGTCCTCAGGTCCAGGGAGTCCAGGGTTTCAGACCGTGGACTAGTCCTCAGGTCCAGGGAGTCCAGGGTTTCAGACCGGGGACTAGTCCTCAGGTCCAGGGAGTCCAGGGTTTCAGACCGGGGACTAGTCCTCAGGTCCAGGGAGTCCAGGGTTTCAGACCGGGGACTAGTCCTCAGGTCCAGGGAGTCCAGGGTTTCAGACCGGGGACTAGTCCTCAGGTCCAGGGAGTCCAGGGTTTCAGACCGGGGACTAGTCCTCAGGTCCAGGGAGTCCAGGGTTTCAGACCGGGGACTAGTCCTCAGGTCCAGGGAGTCCAGGGTTTCAGACCGGGGACTAGTCCTCAGGTCCAGGGAGTCCAGGGTTTCAGACCGGGGACTAGTCCTCAGGTCCAGGGAGTCCAGGGTTTCAGACCGGGGACTAGTCCTCAGGTCCAGGGAGTCCAGGGTTTCAGACCGGGGACTAGTCCTCAGGTCCAGGGAGTCCAGGGTTTCAGACCGGGGACTAGTCCCCAGGTCCAGGGAGTCCAGGGTTTCAGACCGGGGACTAGTCCTCAGGTCCAGGGAGTCCAGGGTTTCAGACCGGGGACTAGTCCCCAGGTCCAAGATGATATTTTACTGGTTGAAAAACGCAGACATAAGCAACACACACAAACTTGTAACTATGAACATGTGATTCATGTTTAGGTTTCGGGTCCCCGGCCACTCCTGCGTTTGGCAGCACCACCAGTGTTTTTGGACAGGTTTGGTTCTTCAGTATCTGTACATTATAATATTTGTGACGCTGTAAAGAGCCTGTAACTCTCGCTCTGGCAGCAGCCGCAGTCGTCTGGAGGCAGTCTGTTTGGATCCACGGCTAACGCGGCCGCTCCCGCTGGCGGAGGCTTCTTCAGCGGACTCGGAGGGAAACCCAGCGAAGACGCCGCCAACAAGAACCCGTTCGGCGCCGCACAGTCCACTGGAGCCTTCGGGCAGCCGGCCCAGACCGGTACAGTTTAGTTTGATTCCTTTAGTAGGACCGAAACTTCACATAGAAAAAACTACACACATATACTTACGACACGCATACACACACCGTTATTACGGGTATACACACACATACATGCTTACTACACACACACACACACACTACATGCACTTAATACAGGCAGGCACACTCCCTCTCTACAGGTCTCACACACACTTACTACAGGCCTACACACACACACTTACTACAGGCCTACACACACACACTTACTACAGGCCTACACACACACACTTACTACAGGCCTACACACACACACTTACTACAGGCCTACACACACACACACTTACTACAGGCCTACACACACACACTTACTACAGGCCTTTACTACAGGCCTACACACACACACTTACTATAGGCCTGCACACACACTTACCACAGGCCTACACACACATACTTTATCAGGCATAAACACACACACACTTCACTACAGGCACACATTTACTACACACACATTTACTACACACACATTTCACTAACTGAACAATCATGTCCGAGTCTGTTGTGGTCCATAACTGTCTAAAATCTTATGAGCGTATATATAAAAGGGGAAAAGACCTCTGCCTCCTCCTGAGCCCCGTGTGTGTGACCTCAGTCTGTGTGTGACGTCTTCATCAATAAGAACCAAAGGAATGATTAAAGTGTGCGTGTTTTCTCTGCTACACAACAGGGAGCAACGGTCTGTTTGGGAACAGCGCGGCCAAAGGCTTCTCGTTCGGACAGTCTGCGTTCGGAGATCAGAAATCCAGCGGCACCTTCTCCACAGGAGCCGGGAGCGTAGCGGCTCAAGGGTTCGGCTCCTTCGCTTCACCCACAACACCAGGTGCGTGCTGCGGTTCTGGTCTCACCACGATGGTTTAAGATGAAGATATTTTATTGGACCCTACCAGTAGCTCGCCACAGGTTTAAAGAATTTAACAAATGATCCAGAATGATTCACTTTTGAGTCAGTAGTGGAGATGTATGGTAGCAGGGAATAGCAAACGGGCTCATTTCCACCTGTAGTCATCACTCAGGGTGCTTTCACACCTGTTGGTCCACTAAAGTGGTTCGCTTGGACCCTAAAGTTGTTACAGTGTTGCAGTTCTCAACTAGTTTGGTTCTCATTCACACCAGTGTTTTTGCAAATGAACCAACCACTGTGGATGTTACATATTCTGCCCATGTGGTGGCGCTGTTCACAAAATACTGTGTATTGGATGATGTATGTTAAACCCGATTGGTGCAGGATGTGAAGAGGGAAGAATACCAGAAGAAAACAAACTTGTCAGATCTTTAACGTTGAACTGTGCTGCTCTAGTGTGAGGCTATTTTTTTTTTATCATCGTTGCTTTGTGCAGCACAAATACTGCAGTTGTTCCAATTTGTATCACAGAGATCAGCACGAGAACACTCTGCGGCTGTTTTTGACTATTCTATCATATAAAAAACAATGTGTGTGTTAAAAAGTGAGATACGCAACAGAGTAGGGCCATATTGAGGCCGGTCTGCGTTCTCACCAGCAGTGAACCAGACTGGAGTCCACATGGGACCGTACCGAGACCAGCTTCCTAAGGTGGTCTCGGTGCGGTTCTTTAGTCCGGACCAAATTTAACTGGTCCACTTTCACACCTGCTCAAACGAACCGTACTTGCAGGTGTTCCAGACTCCAGTCCGCTTTAAGTGGACTCTAAATGGTGCAGGTGTGAAAGCACCCTCAGATTGTGCAACATGTTAAAGGTTAAAAATATGGTCTGTGCAGGATGTATTTATGTACGTTAAAGTGTCAATAAAAGAATGGTATATTATGCATGTATATTCTCCAGGATCGGCTGTAGTCATTATATAAACGATTGTATTATGACCGTTAGAAATGACAGAGAGCTACTTTTTCTGTTTTATACAAGTAATACTAATACCCTGCTCTATAATCTTTACTAATGTCAATGTCGGCTGCCCAAAGTGCTTCACAGGCACAAAATACAAAAACTAAAGACTAAATTACTAAAATCTCTAGCTTTAGCATAATAAGGAAGCAATCTATAATCTCCAACTTTAGCAGAATGAGGAAAAATCTCTGACTTTAGCATAATAAAGTATAAAATCTCTAGCTTTAGCATAATAAAGTATAAAATCTCTAGCTTTAGCATAATAAAGAGGCTAGTATAAACGTATAAAAGTATATAATTCCATGGACACTTCGTCTAAAGCCTCCAGAGTTCAATAATCAACATGACTTGTTTTTACTCTTCTTCTTTGATCTTTAATGTTGCTATATGCCCGCGTGCATCGGTGCCGATGCACGCGCACATGTTTTACAAATAATCAATTTACTCGCGAACGGTAAAACGTAGCAACTTACTTTTTTTTCCTCTGTGAAGTACGTAATCAGGGCTTTCCGAAACGAGTTTTGATTTGTCTGTGCGATGCACGGAGGATAAACTACGTTTGTCTGAAAGTCCGTGTCCAAAGCATGACCCGTGAGGTACAAACAGCTGTGAGATACAAACACACGGGGACTGCCAAAGATCGTCAGAGAGTGAATTCTCTCACTCCTCTGTCTGTACTTGTTCTCCCACAGTTGAAACTACAGCTGCGATTGCAAAAACCGGCTGAAGAGTGCGCATTATTGATAAAGACGATAATAAATACAGTAAAATGACATTATGTGTATATGATGTATATAAATATATGTATTAAATAAATAATTGATGTTTTTTTTTTTTTTTTTGGCTCAGTTTTTTATGTTTTACGTTTTTTACAGCTGTGCTACAGAAGCAACCCCAGCATTATAGACAAACTGCTTCAGGAAGGGCATCAGGAGTACAGAGTTTTTTGCTTTTATAGTGGAATTTTGTAAAAAGTATAATAGTTAGAGATTCAATTTTTTCCCCCATTATCCCCAAGTCTCTAAATAACATTTCTATGCAGTGTAAAAAGTTGTTTATAGCATTTCATTGTGTTTTTTCAATACATTTTTGTTAAATTGATTTTCCGTTTGATTTTTTTCTTTGTCTTTATGATTCCATCATTTTTATATAATTCATATGACAGCTTTACAATATGAATATTCTAAAACCCCAGGTTGTACTGAAAAAAACAAAGTATACTGCTTGACTCTGCATCAAAAGATGACTGTTTTATGAACCATTATACACAAAGAAAACCAGGCGAGGAAAGTTCCCCAAAATGACCCATGGGCATAGAGGGTTAAGCAGCTATAGAATTGTCCCTAAAACCGGTTTGTTTACCAAAGTTCTCCTTCTGGCCGTTGCGGAGGGAATCCTGTTACTTTGACTTCAATCAATTATTTACTACGACATACGGCGAAGGCTGTAATTTCATCAGAGGCCCCGCCCCTTTGCTCCGGGATCGGCCGTAAATATGTGAAAACCTTTTTTAATCGATTGTGCTTCGTGTTCTCGCAGGAGGCTTCGGCACCGCCCCTGTGTTCGGGAGTCCTCCTTCTTTCGGCGGATCCCCTGCCTTCGGAAGCGCAGCAGCCTTCGGGACGGCCCCCTCCTTCACCAGCCCTCTGGCCTCGTCCGCCGGGAAAGTGTTTGGAGAAGGGACAACGGCGTCGAACATGGGAGGGTTTGGGTAGGACCGGTTTTGTGTTGATTCAGAATATTTTCAGGGAAACCACATTGGAATCAGGCGTTTAAGTCCCCAGAGTGCACCAGACAAATACATCCATAAAACCAGCAAAAAAATACAAGCAACAGTCATCAGTGTGGAACCAATCAACAGATAGTGCTTTGTTCAGACTGATAAAAGCTGAAAGAAGCTGTTAGCATGCTAGCATAGCCAGATGTCCTGCAGCCAACAAAATCTTCTGTCAGAGGGAAGAAGCTGGAACAAAGCTTTTCCAGGGAAACGGAGCACCTCTCTGGTTTCTCTATCCCTCTCTCCGGTCTCTCTCTGGTCTCTCTCTCCGGTCTCTCTCTCTGGTCTCTCTCTCTCTCTCTCTCTCCGGTCTCTCTCTCTGGTCTCTCTCTCTCTCCGGTCTCTCTCTCTCTCTCCGGTCTCTCTCTCTCTGGTCTCTCTCTCTCCGGTCTCTCTCTCTGGTCTCTCTCTCTCTCCGGTCTCTCGCTCTCTCTCTGGTCTCTCTCTCTCTCCGGTCTCTCTCTCTGGTCTCTCTCTCTGTGTCTGGTCTCCCTCTAGTATCGCTTTGCTCTCTCTCTTGTCTCTCTCCTTTCTTTGTCTGAAGTTTCAAACCGACAACCTGTCCATGGTGCAGCGATAAAAGTGACGCAGAATCTCAGAGTTTGTACTAAATTCTCTCAGTTTTTGTCCCACTTCAGTTCATCAGACAGAGTTAAACCCAGAGATCTGCCACATGCTGTATTTGGAAACCGTTAGCATCATAGCATCACGCCCCCCAAATGTTTGTATCTCTGTGGGACTAGATTATTCCCCACAGATAATCTGGCAGAGGTCATTCCGGCCGCAGATTAAACGAGGCTGCTCTTCCGTCCATTCTCTTTCTGTGCGGTGGGTGTGTCCCGCCGAAGGGATTAATGCTAAAACCCAATTTCTCAATCCCTCAGTCCCTCTCACACACACAATCTGTCCACCTTGGATTTTATGAAGTTTATTCAAATCACAGCAGCAGTCGCCTTGGAAGACTGAAGCTGTAGACCCAGGACTGAGGCTGTAGACCCAGGACTGAGGCTGTAGACCCAGGACTGAGGCTGTAGACCCAGGACCGAGGCTGTAGACCCAGGACCGAGGCTGTAGACCCAGGACCGAGGCTGTGTAGACCCAGGACTGAGGCTGTAGACCTAGGACTGAGGCTGCTGAAGATTCAGGACTGAGGCTGTACAGTAGATCCAGGACTGCCGACTGAGGCAGTAGATCCAGGACTGAGGCTGTAGACCCAGGACTGAGGCTGTAGACCCAGGACTGAGGCTGTAGACCTAGGACTGAGGCTGCTGAAGATTCAGGACTGAGGCTGTACAGTAGATCCAGGACTGCCGACTGAGGCAGTAGATCCAGGACTGAGGCTGTAGATCCAGGACTGAGGCTGTAGATCCAGGACTGAGGCTGTAGATCCAGGACTGAGGCTGTAGATCCAGGACTGAGGCTGTAGATCCAGGACTGAGGCTGTAGACCCAGGACTGAGGCTGTAGATCCAGGACTGAGGCTGTAGACCCAGGACTGAGGCTGTAGATCCAGGACTGAGGCTGTAGACCCAGGACTGAGGCTGTAGACCCAGGACTGAGGCTGTAGACCCAGGACTGAGGCTGTAGACCCAGGACAGGCCTTACTTACTTACCATTTCCCTAAAAACGTACTTTACCTACTTTAAACGTCTTCTCTCCTTCAGCTTCACCAGTCCGTCCAACGCGCCCACGTTTGGAGCCCTGGCCAATCAGAGCGCTCCCTCTTTCGGGGGTCTCTCGCAGCAAGGGTCCGCGTTCGGGAGCCAGCCCAGCGGCTTCTCTGCTTTCGGGCAACAGCAGCCGCAACAGCAGCAGCAGCAACAACAGCAGCAGCAGCAGCAACAGCAGCAGCAGCAGCAGCCGCAGCCGCAGCAGCAGCAGCAGCAGGGAGGGGGTCAGGGGTTTGGCTTCGGAGCTCCCTCTCAGTAAGTCCCAAATAACAAGGCCACAATCTCTACTATGTCCACTATTCTATTCAATTCCATTAATTTTCTATATCACAACAGTAGTTATCGCTGAGGACTTTACAAAACCGTCGATTTTCCAAAAACAGATAAGAGAATCAAACAGTTCAAACACAAACAAAATGCAACGATAACAAACACATAGACCGCAGTCCTTGAATGTGGAGCGTCCTGGGTCGTCACCACTGACTACAGCCTTGATCACATAAAGTCCTGTGTGTTTCCATGACTCTCTGCTGTTCACATAAACACACCAGGAAGCAGGAGTGTGTGCTTTTTACTGGTGGGAATTGGCACAAATCTGATGATAGTATTGCAATATCTGGCCCACGATTCAATGTTATTGCGATTCAGCAAGTTTTGAGATGAAATTAAATCGTCTTGTATTCTGAGAGGTGTCATAGTGTTTGGGTTCAATCTCTTAAAAGGCCGGCTGATGGTTGGCTAACGGCGCATAAGCTCTGTCTGCGCGTAACATTACTTATCTGTGTGTACACTGGCCGTGAACACAGGCTTTTGATCATTTTGTTACGCGCGTCTGCTGCGCTTACAACGCATACGTGCTGTAAGCTGCTGTGGACATTAGCCGTTTGAAGGCAAAAATACAAAAAAGTGAAACGGGTAGTTTTGCTTAAAGTAGTACTAGAATTTAATATGCTGCTATCCAGAATACATAACTACAATATGTGTTTATAATATTTCGGGTGTTCGTTTTGACATGTTCAGATGAATTATGTTAAAAAAACTGCTCTGAAGTGGCACCTTTTCACTTCCGCATAGAAACACTAGGGGGCGCCAAAATGGCAGCGATGACGTAGGAGAATGACCTCTCACAGCAGCAGCAGTCTGGGCTGAATCTGTAGGAGGTTTCACTGTCATCTGAAGGTATAAACATATTTTCATCAGTTTTGTACATAATAGTGTGCAACTCTTTTAACCTTTTAGCCTTATTTGTGAGATTTAAGCTAATTAGTGTTGGGCAAGTTAGCTAACTCTACTTGATATCATAAAACATGCTAACAAGGCTAATATTCGTTTTTACATTATGCCAGTCTCACTCTGGTTGCCTTAGATTTATTTACCACAATGTACATTGTAATATCCATAAATGCTAACACCTATTAACGGTTTAATTAGCATTTTTATCAATGATTGCATCACATGTAGTCTATGTTTTCAACTTCTGCAGCTTTTTGTTCATAAAAGTAAAATATTTATTTAATTCAAGTTATTTTGATTAGCATTTATGGATATTATAATGTACATTGTGGTAAATAAATCTTAGGCAACCAAAGTGAGACTGGCATAATGTAAAAACGAATATTAGCCTTGTTAGCATGTTTTATGATATCAAGTAGAGTTAGCTAACTTGCCCAACACTAATTAGCTTGAATCTCACAAATAAGGCTAAAAGGTTAAAAGAGTTGCACACTATTATGTACAAAACTGATGAAAATATGTTTATACCTTGTTCAGATGACAGTGAAACCTCCTACAGATTCAGCCCAGACTGCTGCTGCTGTGAGAGGTCATTCTCCTACGTCATCGCCAGTGGGGGAGGGTCCCGGCTCAAAAGTGTCCAAAATGACGTGCGCTGACATGCTGTAATACCACCCCGGGCCTGTGGGGGTGGACCCAGAAGAAGCCAATGCTAACATATAGCATTGGCTAACCTCTTAAAAACGTCATCTTGGATTGCTCCATGACAGCACTTTTCATGGCCAACTCCTATGAATGGCGGAGATATGACTCTGTCCGTTATTATTTACAGTCTATGGTCATCGCCGCCATTTTGGCGCCCCCTAGCGTTTCTAAGCGGAAGTGAAAAGGTGCCACTTCAAAGCCGTTTTTTTAACATAATTCATCTGAACATATCAAAATGAACACCCGAAATATTATAAACACATATTGTAGTTATATATTCTGGATAGCAGCATATTCAATTCTTGTACTACTTTAAGATAAGAGAAGATAAGGGATTACATTTAAGTTCCCAGTGAGCACTCAAATACACAAATGATCAAAGGCAGTAGAGGCTTAAACGTACGGAAGCTTGGTAGGTTCACTTGTGAGTGTTTTTTTTTCCCCGCTGGTATCATGTTATTTCATGATACTTTCATGAAATAACATGATAAATACAGTGCCTTGCTAAAGTATTCGGCCCCCTTGAACCTTTCAACATTTCGCCACATTTTAGGCTTCAAACATAAAGATATAACATTTTAATTTTTTGTCATGAATCAACAAGTGGGACACAATCGTGAAGTGGAACGAAATTTATTGGATAATTTAAACTTTTTTAACAAATAAAAAATTGAAAAGTGGGGCGTGCAATATTATTCGGCCCCTTTACTTTCAGTGCAGCAAACTCAGTCCAGAAGTTCAGTGAGGATCTTTGAATGATCCAATGTTGTCCTAAATGACTGATGATGATAAATAGAATGCACTTGTGTGTAATCAAGTCTCCGTATAAATGCACCTGCTCTTTGATAGTCTCAGGGTTCTGTTTAAAGCGCAGAGAGAACCATGAAGACAAAGGAACACACCAGGCAGGTCCGAGATACTGTTGTGGAGAAGTTTAAAGCCGGATTTGGATACAAAAAGATTTCCCAAGCTTTAAACATCTCAAGGAGCACTGTGCAAGCAATTATATTGAAATGGAAGGAGTATCAGACCACTGCAAATCTACCAAGACCCGGCCGTCCCTCCAAACTTTCATCTCAAACAACGAGAAGACTGATCAGAGATGCAGCCAAGAGGCCCATGATCGCTCTGGATGAACTGCAGATAACTACAGCTGAGGTGGGAGAGTCTGTCCATAGGACAACAATCAGTCGTGCACTGCACAAATCTGGCCTTTATGGAAGAGTGGCAAGAAGAAAGCCATTTCTCAAAGATATCCATAAAAAGTTCGTTTAAAGTTTGCCACAAGCCACCTGGGAGACACACCAAACATGTGGAAGAAGGTGCTCTGGTCAGATGAAACCAAAATCAAACTTTTTGGCCACAATGCAAAACGATATGTTTGGCGTAAAAGCAACACAGCTCATCACCCTGAACACACCATCCCCACTGTCAAACATGGTGGTGGCAGCATCATGCTTTGGGCCTGCTTTTCTTCAGCAGGGACAGGGAAGATGGCTAAAATTGATGGGAAGATGGATGGAGCCAAATACAGGACCATTCTGGAAGAAAACCTGTTGGAGTCTGCAAAAGACCTGAGACTGGGACGGAGATTTATCTTCCAACAGGACAATGATCCAAAACATAAAGCCAAATCTACAATGGAATGGTTCACAAATAGACGTATCCAGGTGTTAGAATGGCCAAGTCAAAGTCCAGACCTGAATCCAATCGAGAATCTGTGGAAAGAGCTGAAGACTGCTGTTCACAACCGCTCTCCATCCAACCTCACTGAGCTCAAGCTGTTTTGCAAGGAAGAATGGGAAAGAATTCCAGTCTCTCGATGTGCAAAACTGATAGAGACATACCCCAAGCGACTTGCAGCTGTAATTGCAGCAAAAGGTGGCGCTACAAAGTATTAGCGCAAGGGGGCCGAATAATATTGCACGCCCCACCTTTCAGTTTTTTATTTGTTCAAAAAGTTTAAATTATTCAATACATATATCATATATATATATAATACATTTATCATTCAGCCAACTTCAGCTCTGTCTTTTACAATCTACGTATTTGTTCAAAAAGTTTAAATTATTCAATACATTTCGTTATTTTTGTATCGCCCTAAATCACAACAGTAGTTTTCTCTGAGGACTTTACAAACTGTGGATTCACCAACAACAGTTCAGAGAATCAAACAGGAAATGCAACAATAACAACCACGTCCAAACTCAGGCCCGCGAGCGAATTGCGGCCCTCCTGTGTCATGTCCTGTGGCCCCCTGCCTAGCTAACCACAAGTACCATTGAGATAAAGCACACAGTGTCATCCAGCCAACTCCAGCTCCTCCCAATATTGTCATTCTGTACATGTTGTAAAGCTCAGAACCAGTGGCATACTTCTCTCCAAGGCGCTAATGAGGCGTAAACATTTATCATTCCGCCAACTTCAGCTCTGTCTTTTACAATCTACGTATTTGTTCAAAAAGTTTAAATTATTCAATACATTTCGTGCCACTTACCGATTGTGTCCCACTTGTTGTTGATTCTTGACAAAAAATTTAATTTTTATATCTTTATGTTTGAAGCCTGAAATGTGGCGAAATGTTGAAAGGTTCAAGGGGGCCGAATACTTTCGCAAGGCACTGTATCATGTTATTTCATGATACCAATTTATCAGAAGAAGCTGACAGCTTCTTTTTCTTCTGTATCTACAGTATCATGTTATTTCATGATAAATTGGTATCATGAAATAACATGATACCAGCGGGGGAAAAAAGAAAACTCACAAGTGAACCTGACAAGCTTCCGTTTAAAGGTCCAGAAACTACTGTGACTGTGACTCCTCAAACTTAACCCTGTTTTGTTTTCCTTCAGATCAAACTCGACGTTCAGCGGCTGGAGGAGCTAAGCTACTTTAGTTTTCTTTGTTCAACTTTTTCTTAAACTTCTCTCACCACGTAAAACATTCTCAGCTTACTCTGTGGCGCTTCAGATCCAGGCATCAGGTGTGGCATCAGGTGTGACATCAGGTGTGGCATCAGGTGTGGCATCAGGTGTGACATCAGGTGTGACATCAGGTGTGGCATCAGGTGTGGCATCAGGTGTGGCATCAGGTGTGGCATCGGGTGTGGCATCGGGTGTGGCATCGGGTGTGGCATCGGGTGTGGCATCGGGTGTGGCATCGGGTGTGGCATCGGGTGTGGCATCGGGTGTGGCATCGGGTGTGGCATCGGGTGTGGCATCGGGTGTGGCATCAGGTGTGGCATCAGGTTTGACATCAGGTGTGACATCAGGTGTGACATCAGTTGGGTGTGCGTCTCCAGACAGATTATATTTTAATAAAAGTTACTTCTTTAAACGTCCACGTCTTGTTTTTGTCTCTGGAAAAGTTTGTTAAAATTGAGACTTTGAATTCTGTGAGTCCAGGAAAGTTTACGCTATTATTTATTTTTGTATCGCCCTAAATCACAACAGTAGTTTTCTCTGAGGACTTTACAAACTGTGGATTCACCAACAACAGTTCAGAGAATCAAACAGGAAATGCAACAATAACAACCACGTCCAAACTCAGGCCCGCGAGCCAATTGCGGCCCTCCTGTGTCATGTCCTGTGGCCCCCTGCCTAGCTAACCACAAGTACCATTGAGATAAAGCACACAGTGTCATCCAGCCAACTCCAGCTCCTCCCAATATTGTCATTCTGTACATGTTGTAAAGCTCAGAACCAGTGGCATACTTCTCTCCAAGGCGCTAATGAGGCGTAAACATTTATCATTCAGCCAACTTCAGCTCTGTCTTTTACAATCTACGTTATTTGCACAGTGGACATTGCTGGGGGAAGTTTGGACACCCGCCTTAGACCCTCCTGCATCGACAAGGGAGTTCTGTTTGTGTTTTCATGTCCTTGTCATTTGTACTTCTGTCATTTAAAACAATAAATACAAAAAAATCCACGAATGCCACGGCTGTATGGCATAATATGACAATTGTATGGGTCAATTTAAACCCTACAAAAACTCTGGGCCATCCTTAATATTTCTCTAATTTACAAAAAGCCTCTAATGTTCATCACGTTTTAGTTATATCCCCAGAAATGAGAGAAATCCAAAGTAAAGTACGAGACTTTTTTGACTGTCGTGACTAAAAAGGTTCCCGATCTCTGCCCCAGTGGCTTTCAGATTTGGTCCAAAGCAGAGGAGAGATTTCTCAACACGGATACATAAAGAATTCGCATTTTTCGTCCCAAAATCTGGTGTTTTTGCTGGACTATGTGCGGTGCATGGGAATCCCGGTCTGCGTCTCTGGTGGGAGTGAGATCTGATTAATTCATGCTAAATCCTGCTTGATATGCAGCTCACTGTTCGGAGCAGAAGACACCGAGCAGATGCTGGGTTTTTGGGTTTTGATACAATAATGTCTTTAAATTTGACATTCGCCGCTAAAGTCACGGCGTCCGAAGTCTCCAGGGACCAACCCGGGACCGTGGAGAGACCAGAGGAAGACCAGTCCTTGACCACACAGAGACCAGAGGGGGGGGACCAGTCCTCGACCACACAGAGACCAGAAGGAGACCAGTCCTTGTCCACACAGAGACCAAAAGGAGACCAGTCCTCGACCACACAGAGACCAGAGGAGAGACCAGTCCTTGTCCACACAGAGACCAGGAGACCAGTCCTTGACCACACAGAAACCAGAGGAGAGACCAGTCCTTGACCACACAGAGACCAGAGGGAGACCTGTCCTTGTCCACACAGAGACCAGAGGAGACCAGTCCTCGACCACACAGAGACCAGAGGAGAGACCAGTCCAAGACTACACAGAGACCAGAGGGAGACCTGTCCTTGTCCACACAGAGACCAGAGGAGAGACCAGTCCTTGACCACACAGAGACCAGAGGAGAGACCAGTCCTTGACCACACAGAGACCAGAGGAGAGACCAGTCCAAGACTACACAGAGACCAGAGGAGAGACCAGTCCTTGACCACACAGAGACCAGAGGAGAGACCAGTCCAAGACTACACAGAGACCAGAGGAGAGACCTGTCCTTGTCCACACAGAGACCAGAGGAGAGACCAGTCCTTGTCCACACAGAGACCAGAGGAGACCAGTCCTTGACCACACAGAGACCAGAGGGAGACCTGTCCTTGTCCACACAGAGACCAGAGGGAGACCTGTCCTTGTCCACACAGAGACCAGAGGAGAGACCAGTCCTTGACCACACAGAGACCAGAAGGAGACCTGTCCTTGTCCACACAGAGACCAGAGGAGAGACCAGTCCTTGACCACACAGAGACCAGAAGGAGACCTGTCCTTGTCCACACAGAGACCAGAGGAGAGACCAGTCCTTGTCCACACAGAGACCAGAGGAGACCAGTCCTTGACCACACAGAGACCAGAGGGAGACCTGTCCTTGTCCACACAGAGACCAGAGGGAGACCTGTCCTTGTCCACACAGAGACCAGAGGGAGACATGTCCTTGTCCACACAGAGACCAGAGGAGAGACCAGTCCTTGACCACCCAGAGACCAGAAGGAGACCTGTCCTTGTCCACACAGAGACCAGAGGAGAGACCAGTCCTTGACCACACAGAGACCAGAAGGAGACCTGTCCTTGTCCACACAGAGACCAGAGGAGAGACCAGTCCTTGACCACACAGAGACCAGAAGGAGACCTGTCCTTGTCCACACAGAGACCAGAGGAGAGACCAGTCCTTGTCCACACAGAGACCAGAGGAGACCAGTCCTTGACCACACAGAGACCAGAGGGAGACCTGTCCTTGTCCACACAGAGACCAGAGGGAGACCTGTCCTTGTCCACACAGAGACCAGAAGGAGACAGTCCTTGTCCACACAGAGACCAGAGAGATTTACTATTGTTTTTATTTAAGATCAAAAGAGCGAGTAAGTCTGACCCACACTGAGGCAGCTGTCTTCATGGAATCCGGATAAAAATAGATTGTTAAAAAAGAAACTGCCTTAACTCCTCCCCCCCCTCCTCTCCCTCTCCCTCTCCCTCCCCCCCTCCCCTCTCCCCCTCCCCAGAAGACTTCCTCCCTTTCGCTGCTTCACTGAGTTGTTTCTGTTGTTGCAGGTGAAGAGTCTGTGTCTGAATTAACATGTCCAGTAAATGTAACTCATAGATGTAAAAACACAGCTACATGTTTTTGGCACCAGAATAAACAGGATTTCAGACTTGCTTCTTTATTCTGCTAACGTTAGAGCTGTTCTTTTATTGAACTACAGAGTTATTGTTCATTTATCCTGTGTGTTTAGTCACTGCTGGTGCAACACTGGCATTTCCTCGCTGCGGGACCAATAAAGAATCTCTTCATCAAATTTGTAAGATTCCAAACGATGAGACTTTTTCTGTCTGTTAATATTTTTGATGAAATTATAATTTTTTCATCGTGAAGAGTTTTACCTATGACTCCCAGAGCGGTCATTTTGAGGAAGCACTTGTTACCATAGCAACACACTGTTTACATGCAGCCGTTAGCATTAGCCTGTTCTTACTGTATTTAAAGTTATTTTCCACCAGTTTCAGTATTTATGACCTGAGATTCATTTTGCATGGACTCACAAATTCACATTTTTAAAACCAGATTTAGAATCGTCTTAGTTATTGTCATTACTTCTGGCCACACCTGCATGTGAAAGCCTCAGAAGCTCAGCGGGGCAGGTCCTGGTCAGTGCTGTGATGGGAGACCTGTGGGAACAGCACCTGCCGCAGTGGAGCTGAGTCAGGGCTCAAGTGTCTGCAGCAGTTAGAGCTTGTGTTTCACAGCAAGAAGGTCCTGGGTTCGATTCCACCTCCAGGGCTTTCCCTGTGGAGTTTGCATGTTCTCCCATTGTATATGTAGGTTTCCTCCAGGGGCTCCGGTTTTCCCTACCACTGAAAACATAGAAACCCTAAAGAACTGTTACTAAAGTGGTAAGGTTTTTATTTTCACAGGGACAGTAAAATAAACATTAGCCAAGAGAAGAGAAGTGCTCTAGCTTTCAGACCAGAGTGCTGCAGGAAGCCGTGGTTACCAGGGAATTTCCCCCAATACTGCTTTGGTGTGGGTAGGTTGCTAGGATACTGTACTAGATACTAAAGTGTAATGGAAACACAACCAGGTAGAGCAGAGAAGAGTAGAGCCAATTGGGGCGGGTGGAAACTAAAGAGTGTAAAGAAGAACAACAGACTGGCCTCTGAAGTGTGAGACAAGGTGAAGGGCCCCTCGTCTCCGTTTATGGTCTGTGCTCCCCACTTCTTGATTCCAATCGCCTTCTCTATCTATCTTTTGTGTTCAAATTCTTCCGTTCCAACTCTTTCTGCAATGTCCCAGTCCTATTAACCTAACCTAAGTCCTATACTATTCTGAGTTATTTATGTCTTGCCTTTTTTTCCTCAGTCGATCTTGTTTTGGTCGAGGCTGACGATTTTGATGATTCTCTTAATTCCTTCCTAAACTCCCTTCCTCCGGTGCTAATTCCTGACTCTGATCTACAGCACTTCCTGGAGCATTAATCGCACCTGTGTATAAATCACTGCTTCACACTGAGCCCGTCCTCCTTTAACCGACTGATGAGGATTGCAGCTTTATCTTTCGGCGTTTCCAGAACCTGCCACAGACTCTCCACTGCCTCAGAACGATCCTGAGGCCGATTCACGAGGCCTCAGCTCCGTGTTTTCTTACTGTGTGTGAAACGGGCCTTTCTGGAGAGTAACAACCAACGAGATTGCTTCAAAACCAGCAATTATTAACACGTAGGTTTCTAAGTGGATTACTCTCAGAACAGATTAAAGTCTTACCTTCGGGATTTACTCGTGGACCCGTGGAGCTTCAACACTTGTGCCACGACTCTGAACTAAATCCAGAACCGCCTTTAATTGGAAAATAATTTGCTTTTCTCATTAAAATATTGGATTGAGGCTTCGTGTCATGTTTTGTCTGCTGTTGGTGGAGGACCTCACATGTGGAGCGTCTGTGCAATAATGTGAAATGTCAGAATGTGCAATACAGAACCACATGTGTCCAGTGTCACCGTGTCCCGTAGGCTCATGCGGCTAACATATACAGATGTTAGCATGCGGCTAACATATACAGATGTTAGCATACGACTATATATATGCACTTGAATATACAGGATTTTACACTAGCTTCTTTACTATGCTAAAGCTAACGATTTTATACCAGGAATCTATTATAACTGGATAGGGTGTTACTAGCTTGTAGCTGAATAACTCATGTGCTCAGGGGATTCTCGCGGTACTGCAGACTGAACCAGACTGAACCAGACTAAATTCAC